TGGTGCTTAATTTCTTTCTATAATATATCTCATTTTATTTTATGTTTATGTGTCTAATTTGTTTTTGTATATTTATTGATTGAGGATGTCACGAAGGCTTTGCCAATTAAAGGTATAGCAAATTGCTATTGGTCGTAAGTTAATGGAGACGTCAAATGAGGTGTCAAGGCGACAATCAATTGCACCGACTGATTACTTCGGACGAAACTTGCAAATTATTCCATCAATCATGGTGACCTTAATATTAGATAAAAATAAATGAAACGATCGTAGTTACGTAAATAGATAATGATAAATGATAATGGTTGATGTCGTCCAATTTGTCATCAAGTATACTTTGAAAGTTATAAAACGTCAATGTTTTATCTGACAACCATAAAACGTCAAATTGATTCGTTTGAAAAAGTACATTTATATAATCCATATTTTTTCATCTGTTTTCATAACTTAACGAATCTTAATGATATATCGAAATTGCAGCTTTATAAAAAAAAATCATCATTATGCTTGAAATAAGATTATTGTAAATAATTCATCATGATTTAAACTGTAAATAATGAATTTTAATAATTTGACTTTGACAATTTAAGTGTCAAATGAAATTATTATTGAAGTTACATAATTTTAGTGCTTTAATTAACAAAATCTTAATCATATATTGAAATTGCAGCTTTATTAAAAAAATACTTCCTCATTATGCTTAAAATAAGATTATTGTAAATAATTGATCATGATTTAAAATGTAAATGATGAAATTAAAAATTTGACTGACAATTTAAGTGTCAAATTAAATTGTTATTGAAGTTGCATAATTTTAGTGCTATAATTAACAAAATTTTAATCATACATCGAAATTGCAGCTTTATAAAAAAAAATTATTTATCATAATGTTTGAAATAAGACTATTGTAATTAATTCATCATGATTTAAGCTGTAAATGATGAATTTAAAAAATTTGACTTTGACAATTACATAATTTTAGTGCTTTAATTAACAAAATCTTAATCATATATTGAAATTGCAGCTTTATAAAAAAAAACTTCATCATAATGCTTGAAATAAGATTATTGTAAATAATTCATCATGATTTAAAATGTAAATGATGAATTTAAAAAAATCACATTGACAATTTATGTGTCAAATTAAAATATTATTGAAGTTACATAATTTTAGTGCTTTAATTAACAAAATATTAATCATATATTGAAATTACAGCTTTATAAAAAAAAAACTTCATCATAATGCTTGAAATAAGATTATTGTAAATAATTCATCATGATTTAAACTGTAAATGATTCATTTAAAAAAAAAAGACATTGATAATTTAAGTGTCAAATTAAGTTATTATTGAAGTTACATAATTATAGTGTTTCAATTAACAAAATCTTAATTACAAATCGAAATTGCAGCTTTATAAAAAAAATACTTCATCATTATACTTGTAATAAGAGAATTGTAAATAACTCATCATGATTTCAACTGTAAATGATGAATTTAAAAAATTTGACTTTGACAATTTAAGTGTCAAATGAAATTATTATTGAAGTTACATAATTTAAGTGATATAATTAACAAAATCTTAATCATATATCGAAATTGCAGCTTTATAAAAAATAGTTCATCATTATACTTGAAATAAGATTATTGTAAATAATTCATCATGATTTAAGCTGTAAATGATGAATTTAAAAAATTTGACAATTTAAGTGTCAAATTAAATTATTATTGAAATTACATAATTTTAGTGCTTTATTTAACAAAATCTTAATTATATATCGAAATTGCAGCTTTATAAAAAAATACTTCATCATTATGCTTGTAATAAGAGAATTGTAAATAACTCATTATGATTTCAACTGTAAATGATGAATTTAAAAAATTTGACTTTGACAATTTAAGTGTCAAATGAAATTATTATTGAAGTTACATAATTTAAGTGATATAATTAACAAAATCTTAATCATATATCGAAATTGCAGCTTTATAAAAAAAATAATTAATTGTTCTGCTTAATTAATACAAATAATTCATCATCATTTAAACTGTAAATTATATTTTTTTATATATATATATATTTTTAATATTTGACTTTGACAATTTAAACTTCAAAATTGACTATTTAAGTTGCATAATTCGCTTAATTAATATATCAAAACTTATAGTTTTATAAAAAAAAATATATTTCTTCATTTACTTTTTTTATAGTTAATAACTTGATAATAGTTTAACTTTTGTTATATTGAGGTTGAATGAGGAAATAAGTACAAATAGAAGGTAATAATAAAGTGGTGAGAGTAGTTAGAAATGAAAGATTGCAGAAAATGTTTAGAGTGTTGTTAAATGCATTTTGTATGTAAGAACGAGGCAGCGTTTATCGGAATTGACAAATTGAAATGGGGAAACGAGAAGCATTTCGGATTCGATAATGTGGATGATAAGGCTGCAGTCGTAACAGTGAGAGAGAGAAAGAGAGCGATGACTAAGTTTTTGTATACTTCATCTAAAAGCTGAAGGGAAAACGCGTTATAGAAATATACGAACGTATTGTTTATTTCATTATTTGTGCGGCTCTGCTCAACGGGATGAAATTGAATACGTCTCGTGAATTGCGCGAACAATTAAACAAAAAAGCAATTGGGGTCCAGTTGATCGTGGAGGAAAAACGGGATCGAGTTATGTGTTCTTTCTTAGTTGGGTGTTGGGTTTCGGAATTGGAATTGGAATCGGTCGAGTTTATAGAGTGCGAGAATGATCGAAGAATCAAAGAAAGAAAGGAAGGCGAGCACGCGAGAAAAGAGGAGATGAAGCGACGAGACGATCCAACCAACAACCTCCCAACAAGCATCCATCCATCATTGTGCCACGCCGGACAACATCACTTGTCCTCTCCAACAGTTGTTGATGTCTCATTTATTTATATTTATACGCTCGATACATTTCAAGAATGCTCTTCACGCATTTTATGGCTGCCTCTTTCTTCGTTCTCCGCGGCACGCATCGTTATCTCTCCTCACGAGTCCATCACGTCTTCATCCCGACCCATCAACAGCAAAACAACATCAACAACAACAACAACAAGAACATCAAACAATAAATTCCATATTTTACTGCAGCATTATACGAATTCCCGCCACGTGCATGCATATACATCCTTCAGAGAGCTTTCATTTAAATCGCAAATGATTCGCGCTTGTTTAACGCGCATTACGTGATTCTTCGCACATTAGTTTGCAGCTTCAACAAAGCGGAATGAGAAAGAAAGAAGAAAGAGACACGATGTAAAGGCGAAAAATAACATGCACATAAAAGAAGTAAATAAATAATTTATCTTATATTGTTTTTTCCACCTCACACACCGAGAACAACAGGAATAATTTTATGCTGGCACGTTTCAATTACTATTGAACGCATCCCATTTGCAATTCCGAACTGCTCGCCATTCCCATTACTCAAATGGTTTTTAAATTGTGCTGGAAGCCGCGTCTCTGAATACAAACGTCCTGTTTTATTGCGTCCATTAGAAATTCACTGTTTGTTCCTTCGATATGTCTCTCCTTTACTTCTCCTCCTCTCACCATTCTTCGCTCTTCATTATTATTACTTATTTATGCATTCAAAATAACAAAACAAACCGTTGATTATTCACTATAAATTTACCTCTGAAACGCGTCTAAACCTCAACAGTCATTACGTTTTTTTTTTCTCAATGTTTCAATTAACAAATAGGAAATTAGTTCGCATAGTTTCAAAAGCAATTAACTTGTTGTTTAATTATTGTCAAAGAAATGTTAAATTGTAATAAACCAATAAATAAGTGTAAATCAAAGCGTTTTCTTGCATTTTAATACACTTTTCTGAAGAATTAAGTAAATTAGTTCCGTTTTTTTTTAAATAAATAAGCAAAAAATAATTATAAAAGAAAATTTCAATTTAAGGCAATATTAATGGACAATTTTCTATATTTGTCTTGAAGTTACGTAAATATAATTGAGTTACATAATAATACCGAACATTTAGTTAATTTTAATTATAAATAAAAGGTTTTTCATTTCATTGTCATATAAATTTAGTGAATATTTATTTAAACAAAATATTTTTTTTAGATGCAACAAAATAATTTTAAATTACAGGGTGTGTAAGGTATTTTAGAAGTATATTACAATTAAGAATTTGAAGAAAATATTGAAATCAACAACTATAATTTTAGCAGTTACGTAAGTTCGTAGTGTAAATAAGTGTGAGATTATTTCTCGAAATGAGTTTTCATCAACTTATTACAATTGTTGTTTAATTGTTGTCAAAAAAATGTTAAATTGTAATAAACCAATAAATAAGTGTAAATCAAAGCGTTTTCTTGCATTTTAAGATACTTTTCTGAAGAATTAAGTAAATTAGTTCCGTTTTTTTTAATAAATAAGCAAAAAATAATTATAAAAGAAAATTTCAATTTAAGGCAATATTAATGGACAAATTTCTATATTTGTCTTGAAGTTACGTAAATATAATTGAGTTACATAATAATACCGAACATTTAGTTAATTTTAATTATAAATAAAAGGTTTTTCATTTCATTGTAATATAAATTTAGTGAATATTTATTTAAACAAAATATTTTTTTTAGATGCAACAAAATAATTTTAGCAGTTACGTAAGTTCGTAGTGTAAATAAGTGTGAGATGATTACTCGAAATGAGTTTTCATCGTGTAAGTTTTAATTATAATATAATAAGATTGATGAAGGTTTTCAGAAATTGTACGAACTAATTATGAAATTCTTAGAAAATTGAGTATTCTTGGATTGAAAACAAGAACAAAAAAAAATAATAAGTTGTTGCAGTTGATGTGAACTGTTCGTATTAATTGGGTTTCGATAAGGTTTTGCTTATCAAATAGTATTTATCGCGGCGACGTTTAAATTTAGAACGTGCGCGCATTGATTATAATTTGAAAATTGTAAAGAATATGTATATAATCTGAAGATATTGAGGATGCGAATGTACCTTGAGTTGCGATCCATTTGGGTGCAAAGACGAGGAAGATGAGTACATGTAGAAGCATGGCACCGAAGATGTTGATAACTGGGGTCGTTCTCTGGACAACAAGAGGTGATGATGATGTTGATGATAACATGTCGCGCGGCGGCGGGGCTGTTTTTCAGCCGCACGAATTCGACACTCTCATCTCCGCGCCTGAAACTGACTGAAAAACTGAACGCGCGTCCGTCCGGAGGTTCGTTCTTCTCTCCTCGCAACGCAACTTCGGAAGAGGAGACGACGCACGCACTGCAAGATTGCTTGCTTGCTTGTTCCTCGGATGCCGACCGTCGAGGAACTATCGGGGGATCCTCGTAGGTTCTTGTGCCGTTGGACTGGACAATTCTTGACCATTCCCACCTACTACTGAATGCCTCCGAGTTCATATGCATAAACAGCCCAAGGCTATTACACTCCGACCGACCCCAGATGCAGATGCGGAGGAGCCGCGCCGGACCCCGCGCGCGCTCGCTCTTTTCCACCCAATTCGATTAATCATCATCGAGGAAATAAACCCCAACAAACAAAAAAAGTAAATGTAAACTCGCGAAGAGTTCGATCGAGCAGCAGATCAATCTCCTTATTTTTTAAACCCTTCGGTGAGGAGAAGACAAAAACATATAATATAAAATAATCATTTGTTTGATGATGATGATGATGCTGGGGGAACTGGTTTTCTCTGTTTCTCTCGGTGCGCGAGCCTTCCCTGCCCATAGCCTCTTGGTTTTGACTTAAGTGGTAGGCGTTACCGTATTTACTTAACTTCTTTAAGTATTCACTCCCGGCTATTTACCAACGAGATATTCAAATCGCGCGCAAGACAATATTGATTCAGCTAACAGCACAACACAAACACGACCCTTGCAAATACTGTTATCTGCTAATGCGGCAATCAAACGGTAGCGAAACATTTGCACCATCAATATTTAACTTCTGCAATCCTCTTCGCATTTAACATACGACAAATTTAACACCATTCAAGAATTTAAATATTGATAAACATAACGAATTGACCTCTTCACCAAACATCTATCATTTTTTATTTATATTTTCATTCATACATATGATTCATTGGGATTTTGTCAATTAATAAAATAAATTCTACAATGTTTTAATTAGAATCGAGAATTAATGAATTGTAATTTTACCAAAAGAATTTGCAGTTAAAATGATATCTCTTTAAGTATCTTTTGTATCAGGACTAAGTTCCTAACAGTTCGATTAATGCATGAGGACAATAATTTGAAGTGGAAGTTTGACCCATCGAAAATGCCTATAGTAATATAGTCTGAAGTGGAATAGGATCGTCGCCGAGCACTATTCTTAGTATCAGCTGCAGCAGATTAACGCTAATGCATCATGCCTCGGCTGCGCACAAAAGAAGACAAAACTCATACGCAGAGGTCATGATGTTCCATCCATCGCTCTTCCTTTGTCCGCAAAATCTAAAAATCAAATAGGAACTTACACCTAATTGACATGAAGAAGAAAAAAACAACTGCATATCGGGTTTACATAATGTCCCAAAGATCGAATAACAATTTGTATTAACTGTTATCAATATATTAAATTACGATCGGAATTGAATTACAATACCAAGAACGTACATATAGCTTTTGTCATCTCTTCAATTGATTCAATATTAAATGAGTTACAAATATTATCGAATTCTGAGAAGCGAATTTTGTTTTTTGAAAAAAAAAATTGCAGCGTATCTACTTGGCGAGTAAACAGAACGTTTTGTTTTGTAATCATTCTCTTTTATATTCTGAACCAGATTAAAAGCGCGCGCGGTCCGTTTGATCTTCGCGAAGTTATCTAAACAGTAAAAAAAAAAGAGAAAACAAACAGGATTTGGCGTATTATTATTATTTACTGCATCAAAGTTATTTGAACAGAACGTCCTTGTGGCATACGCATTTGCAAGTCTTCTTCAAGTACGTGGGATCCGATTTGGGATCGTGGCACATCCTTCCAGGTTTGGCGTTCAACAGTCCGCTCGGATGACCCAAACTCTTGCAGTTCCCGCACGGTCTGGATGGAATCTTATGACCCAACATGTTTGTCTTGTAGCTGTGTATGACTTTCTGGATCGGATAGATGATCCTTCCACGATTCTTGGTGTTCTCTAATAGCTCGTTTGCGTACTTGAAGAACTCGTCATCCTCCTCCTTGAATTTGTCCAAACTCTCCTCGTATTCTTTCCTCTTGGAGACGCGTGCCGCCTTCAAGTCTTTCTCGTTTTCCGCCTGTCGGATGTAATATCATTTACTTTAAATGTTTGAACAAATCATCAAAAAATTACCAATTGCTCTTCCAATTCTTTTCGTCGCAAATCCATTTCCTCCCTTCGTTCGGCCTCCAGCTGTTCCTTATGTTTGATTTCCTCCTCCACGATTTTGCAGCGATTGAGCATCTCCCATTTGGACAATTCCTGCTCGTTGCATTTGCGATGCTCCTCTCGCTCTAGCCACTCCTTGCGTGACTCAATCAGATCATTCTTGGCGCGCTCCTTCTTCTCTTTGTCGTGTGCCACCTTCTTCCAATATCTTAGAAGAAAACAAAAAACGATGGTCAAATTATTCGGAACTTAAAATATATCTTACTGTTCTTCCCGTTCATCTATAGCCTTCTTCAGTGAAGCCTCTTCTTTCATCTGACGCTCGAATTGGTCTTCCGACGCCAATTTAGCTATACGTTGCGCTGCATCCAGCCGCTTCTCCATCATCTGCAAATTAGCAAAACAATTTGATTGGTGGTGAAAGCAATTGAAATGCTCCTCTTACTTCGTGCTCTTTGTTCTTCTTCATGCACTCGATCTTCTTTTTAGAGCTGTCTATGATCGAGATGATCAAGTCGAGCTGCTTATCTTCGGCAGCCATGGTTTCGCGATACTTTCGCTGCGCCTCGATGTTGCTAGTCAGAGCCCTTTTGGCGTCCTTCCTATTAGACAAACGCGTGTCTTCCTTGTACTTTTCTATTTGCGCCATCTCTTTGGCCCGTCTATCGTAATCATCCAATTCCCTGTCGATCGTCGCCTGCCTCATCCTCTCCTTTTCCAACCTATTACCTTCGATTCTAAAACGACGATTCTATTATATAAAGGAATTATTTCACCAGTTTTGAACACGAACTGCTGCATCAATTCCTTTCCATATTTCTTATTCTTCTCTGCCTCCTTCCTGGCCTTCTCCGCGTTCTCGAAAGCCTCGGCGGCCGCATCGTCCTTCACCTTCTTGGCGTACTTCGCCTCCTCCATCCTGAAATGATCCCTGATCTTCTCCTTCAGCTCCAAGTGCCTATCGTTCTCGTAAACCATTTCGGAAACGCCCAAAGCCGTGTGCAGCGATTTCGGGTAATCCTTCTTCATCGTAATCTTGTCTCGCATTGCATCCACGTAGATCTGTCGCTCCTCAGCTTGCATCTTCTGCAATTCCAGATACCGCTTCATGTTCTTATCCTCCTTGGCCTCGAACTTCATAAAACGCTGCTCCTCCTTCCGTTTCCTTAAATTCTGAATTCCCCCTTTGATCACTTATCAATTTGCAATCTTAGTAGCAATTATTACCTCAACGGAATTATCCCAGTTCTTGGTCATCTCGTCCGACGCCTCCTTCATCGCTTTCCGTTTATTCTCTTCATCCTCGTTCGCCTCCGCGATCAATCTGTTTCGATCCAGATGGACGGTGATGTTGGACCAATTCTCTTTGCAGATGTGCAGAGCATGTTTCCTATCCTCGATGCGGGTCTCCTCCAGCACTTTACCAGCCGGAACGTACCAACGCGATTCCATAATTTCGAAACGCAAACTAAATTTACAAAAGCTGCTAGACGGAGGGATATCGATCAAACAAATAACAAATGTCATTTTTCCAATTACCGCTGATTAATTGGAACGTTAATTGCATCTCACAACCCAGACGATGTAATCAGTTTAATTGCATGCGCAACACTTTCTCTCTTCTCTTTCTTCGTTTACTCGAGGTTTTGCAAATATATAAGACGTTGAATCAATTTCTCGCGCATCACAAATTGAAACTCTATCTACGTTTGCAATTGTTATTCTACAATCGTCTCCAATAAACCACAACGACTGCAAACAAAGCTCACACGTTAAGCGTTAACATTTCTGAAAACCATCAATTCTTTGACGCGAATTTCAATGTCCAGCGGTGCATGAGCGCTGCTGCTGCGATGTCTCGTTTCCTTCTCTCGATAAGAGTTCACGAAAGCAATTAAAAGGTCGCAGCGATACTCAACATCTTCATTTAATAATTCATGCAAGTCCGACGATCTGTAACATCGATCGCATATTTCATCCTCAATAAACAACAACAAAAAAAAATAATACTTTCAGACCATCAGACTTTATTTTTCAGGATAAACATTTATAATAGATAACAATAAATTGGAAGGCATATAGTTTCTTTCATTTTCTCTCTACTATATATAAATATCTCTCTCTCTCTCGCCATAATATATAATATATTCATTTACAGCAACATCTTAAAAAGGTAGAAATTGTATAATGAGATTTTACATAGTTAAGAGGCACGATGGTTTCAGACTACTACATTCAAGAAAAAGGGAGAGGGATGGTTTCCAAAATAAAACTCAATCGAACAGTTCTTACACAACACCAAATACACAATTTTAAATGCTTCTCCAATTTCAAAAAAAATGGTTCTTCCTTAAATGGTTCAATTCTTTAAAATTACATTTTGGTGAGGCGAAGATCGCCGCACCGGGGGGAGGTAATACACATTGACTAGAGATTCAGATAATTTCTTTGGCGTTCACAACAATTTAAAAAATGTAATAATAGTAATAATAATAATAGAAAAATAACACATTCACCTATAATTAACAAATAAAAAGTAAATCGAATCTATTGTACGTAATTTTTTTTTGTAACAGAACATATTGCTATTAAAAATTGTAACATTCTCACAGAACATAAACGAAAACAATAAAAACACTTTAAAGATATAAAATTAAAATATATAGATATAATACGTTTCGACTAGAAGTTTCTTCCACTGAGTATTGAAGCTACAAAGAAATGTAAAACTAATATATATATAAAGATAATAAGTTGTAAATACTCCAAATATTATGGTTTCAGCTTTGTTCTGTTGTTGACTAGACTACAGGTACTAAAATAGAAATTCTCATTTTGAGCTTTTTATCTTGTGCCCATCTGTTATACCAGATAACCATCATTCACGCACATACTCAAACACCTAATACAAATGTAAAGAGGACGAGAAATAAAAGTGTTGTGACAATGAAATGAGAAGAACATTTTCTACAACGAAAATATCGGACTCCTAAAAAGAAAGCAACCCAAGTTACTGCAGTACACATACCATGTTATCGTCCTTTGCGTGATGGGCCATGGCCCTACGCTTGATCCCCTCCAAATAGATGTCCCTGTTGAAGAGGCCGGCATTCAGAGGCATTCTAAAAACAATTTAAAACAATGTTAAGAGTTGAATTTTCATGATTCTCAGTGATTACGTGTCAATTCCAGGTCTGACGTGTGCCCTGAAAACACCCCAAACAGGTTTATGATCGGATGTAGTTATGGATGGAACCGAATCGTATTCCAAGCAACTGAGCGGTGGAGTATCCGGTTGACTGCTCAACCTTCTAGTCTGACGATGCTTGAAGAGGATGCGATCGGTGTAAGCTGGAGCTCTTTGCTTAGAAGAAGTATCAAAGTTTTGCGTTCCCGGATCATACTACAAATAATAATTATTAAATATATAATAAATAATATAATGAAATTTTTAGTTATTACTTTATATGTAGGTGGAAAAGTGATGTTGGCTTCCATAAATCCCCTGAAAGCAGCTCCGTCCGTTAGAACGGAGCACAGTTGATCATGATGCAGATACCCGTGCGGTAAATGTGGTGGAAGAGGAAAACTCGTGTGAGACAACCATTCCAGTACTTTAGCCCTTGGTGTAGCAAGTCGAAAATTCAAATCGCCGTTCCAGAAGACGTAATCGAAATTTTGTGTTACATCTAAATATTTATAAAAAAAAATATTAATTCATATTTTTGTATAATTAATCATAGAAATTAACCTTTGCTCTTATTCTTGCAAGGAATATTCTTCGGTAAATCCATCGAGAAGACGATTTTCTTGACGTCCGAGACTCGTTCCTTTACCTTCTCCTGGTGCGCAGTCAAGTGGGTGTTGACGAAGAGGAATGACGTTCCGAAGATCATGAAGGCCGAAGCTACGGCACCTTTGGTCTTGAAGGCGCTACCAGGTCGCACCGATATGCAAGACTCCTCCGGCACCGAAGAATACCAGATCAGATCTCTGCGTAGGAAAACTGCGATGTGCAGAGTGCCCAACGAAACGGAATGAAAGAGCACATGAGATGGACCTATGGTTTCCTGCAGACTGGACTCCCATTCGTACCTCTCCGAACAAGACTCTTGAGTTCCGAAAACTAAAACATCCGGCACGTGTTCCATGCTAATTGGCAACACGAAATCATTCAATTCCCTAAAATAATAGAACAATTTAACGAAAACTTATTATATCGAGTATAGACGCATACTTGGGTGGATTTTGTCCGTTCATGTTCCAAGTACCGACAAAAATATGAATCTCCCTCCTCGGCAATGTCTTTTCCAGTTCTTTGCTACCCAGCAGCGCATTGGTTCCAATCCTGCCCTGCAGAAAATTCCTCTGCCTCGCCTTATTCGTAGGTATCAAATGAAGAACTTGCGCTGCCATCAAAGCCTTCTTCGCCAGACTGTTCGCGCTGGAACTTGACCTATTTACCGTGACTCCCTCCTTTAATACCGTGTCATGGGACATGCATCTTTCGCTCAATTTACTCTCATCCAAATCAGACCTTAAGCTCGTATCTTCCACGCTGCTGCATCTTCGCAATTGATTAAATTCCCCGTTCACCTAGCGGAAAGTAATTGCGTATTCAGAAAATGATAATTTATTGCTCAAGGAATATTCATGAAAATAACAATTTAAATTAAATGTTAAATAATTGTTTGAAATGATTTGAGAACCTCTGTGGAAAATATCCAAGTAATTTTTAAATGAACAAACTTTGGTGCTAATTTGGTTGCATACATTGTAAAAGTAAACAAAAAAAATAATAATGTTTATGGCGTTTAACAAGTTTAAATGTTGTTGAATTATGTAATTCGTATTTGACTGATAATAGGTTCCTAATTGAGTTGAGTCTACCTGCAGGCGATGTTCCTCCAAATCAGGTGATAGGAAAGGTTTGCCAGCAAGTGATAGGGCCCCATTATCAGAGTCACTGTTGATGTTGGCCATGTCCAGACTGAGAGGTCTTCTGGATACAATGATGGGACTTTTTGGTAGGTTCTCCTCAATATCCAGTTTTTCGTAATGCTTCCTGGTGCTCTGCGTTCTGGTGATCACTATGCCAACCTTGTTGGGTGCCTTCGATGGCAGCAGGAACTTCTTGATGCTCTTCTTCTGGGTCAGCTTGGAGCTGGGGCTGCCAGTGGTCTGGTTGCTTTCCATGGTCATGTTTCACTTCTATTGTGTCACTATTGATTATTATTCCTCTGCCTCTGCCATTCATTCAAACACATTTGCATCTAGTTGTTGTTGGCCTCTGATCTCATGGTGCCGTCTCGCTGTGCGTCACTTTGTGCAGGTGCTGTTAACTCATCTCGATACCGATTGATTCGCGTGTGGAAATAGACACTCGGGTCATAGGTCACAGGTTAGGTTATATTAAATGAAAAAGGTTTTTTGTCTGTGCGTATTCAGAGGCCGCCCACCGACACAACCAGAGACCGCAAAAATGTTCGCAGCAACCAATCGCGTGTCTCCTGAAGTTCAAGAACCTCTATTAATTACGACCGCAACAAGACCACAGCTTATCATTACTACACTCTTAACGATTAAACGTTTGCAAATGGTTACGAGGAAGAGACATGTTCGAACATCGGAACAGGTGGTCAACAAATTTAGAAGCGCTGCGGGCGGTGGGCGTAATCAAATTCGCACGTTTCGTTTACCTATAAAATTATTGATCCGAAGAGCGAGAGACGGCCGGAAACACCCGAGACCACCTTGGAAGAACACTTTTTCGAATCAGCCAACCGAGCACGAGTGCGGCCGAACCTATTTTCGGATCGATTCTTTTCCCGATAACTAATTTTAAATTTATGCGCATCAAGAAAAGAGAGGTGTACACGCCTAAAAATAAATGGAAATCAGAAAGAATCACACACACGTAATGTTTGTCAAATAAATTCCGCCACATGCAAATTGCACTTGCGATGCAGCTCAACTTTATTTTTACAACGACTCAAATATCAATGTCCTTTATTTGTTCTATTCTTTCAATGTACAAATCAGCATTTAATGCCGGTCACAGTTCGTTGCGTGGAATGTGTTGATTCGACGATTTTTCGATCCCATCCGTTTCAATACTGTTCAAAAGAAACACCAAATTATTACTCTACTGCTCAGCTAGAAAATTCATTATTAATTCTTTCCAACCGTATCACATAATAAATAAGCGCATACAATTAGCTTATCTAAACCCATGTTATTAATTCAACCAGATATCAATAAAAAAATAAAAGCAAACAAAAGTGTATTCCAATAACTACTGGTTGGGGTAACAACAAGAGCGTCATATAACAATACTTTATATATATAAAAAATATGCAGTACAATACAATAGAACGAACAAAAAGAGGACAGTACTGGAGTGTTATGTATTCATGTATAGATAATTACTCAAGTGGTACATGTAGGTATTCGCAAACAAACACTCTGAGTATTTTGTTTAAATTCTCAACAGTGGTCATGTCTACTGCATCTCTGTTATCGGCCGGCGTGTGCCACTCCTTCGGGAACTCCTTGGGGATCAAATGCAGAATGGGGACACCTGCAACATATCAAATATGTAGCCACAACAATCCAACATTCTTCGTATCAAATAAAACCTCTGATCATGAACGGCACATGATCATCCTCAACGAAGGAAGGGGACGACCTTCGCTTAAAATATTTCTGTTGCGCGTTCTTCGAGTACTTCTTCAATTGACCCATGTTCATAAGCTTATCTTCAGCGTCCGCCAAAGCCACAAATCTAAAAAACAATTGTAAGAAATTTAGATAATACTACTTTTTTTTCTATTATTTACAATCTTTCAGTCTTTGGGAAGTAGCTGAAGAACGTTGGATCAGGAGTACCAATTAAATCTAATAAGACGAACGCGTCCATGCGTTGCAGTTTGTTAACATCTAAACCACTCTTTGTGGAAGACACAGATCTGTGCCAAGCGTCAGCCAAATGCCTTGCCCCATACAGTGAGTCAGTGGGGCCCCACCGGAGGAAAGCCTCTTCACCATCAAGGAACAACAGCTGTAAGGTCACCTCGTTGCCCATGACCTTCTGCAAATCATTTTTAAGCACCTTAGCCAGATTCAGCATCATGGCACAAGGGACTGCAGAATCAGTAGCACCTTTCCAAAAAAAAATATATATCGATTATCATCATCAATCAAAAAACACTAGTATTTCTTACCGAGAAACACATCATTCTTAAAGTATTTACTGTCATAATGACATGCTAAGGTTAAAAATCTCTCTGCCCTTGGGTTGAGCGTTCCAATGATATTTCTGAATTTCAGATGTCCCATGGTTGGGGTCCGCTCATGGAATGTATCAACTTCCACATCGTACTCCAATTTCTTTAATTCATTCACAATGTAATCATGCACTTTATCATGATTAGGTGTTCCCACAACTCTCTCTATCAGAATATTGTCCAAAACATCTTCCATATGCCCAACATCAGAGAGCTTGGAGACATATTCAATTTGGGAATTCCCTAGTTTGTGTAATCTGTGTGCATTCTAAAATAGAAACCATTTAGCATATTATAATTGAAGCATTCTATGGAAAGAACGTTTACCTTCAACTGAGCAAATTCCAGGGAGTGGATGGAATGGAGGAAACACAAAGAGAAAACGAAATGAAGGAGCATCTTGCTGGCAAATACCATACGTAATTGCCGCTTTGTTTTAACCTAATATGAAAAGTATTTGCACTATCTGCGGGTTCTTGCGAGACTGGAAATGTTTACGAACACGAAACATATTTATATAATAACTGTGTTTACTCCCACTCAGAAAATAAATGTATGTAGGCAAGGTTCTGCTTTGGGAATTAATTCCATATAGAAGAGTGAGAGGCGTGAATCAATATTCGGAAGCGTATTTTTTTTCATTCAAAGCGAATTGTTTATTCAGCTGAAATATATTGGAATTTAATCAGTAAATTCAATATATCTCACAAATTGCTAAATTCCGAATATATGAACAATATGTAAATTACTTTATTGCATTTTTTTTGCATTACTTATTAGCAGAAATGAAAGTTATCAAATCAACTATAATTGGGGTCATAACAATATAAGAGGTCGTTAGATAATAACCAGTAACAGTGGATATTGGCACAGATTTTTCTAATTATTTATATGATTACAAAATTATAACAAGCGACTTTTAAAGCTGTTAATCGTCTTCAATTAAAAGATTGAAAACTTTAATTTTGTAACTCAAAATTTAAAAAATAAAAACAAATTACTAGTGCTAATTAAGATTAATTAGTTTTATAAGAAGGTCCTTTGATCTAAAAATTAATTAACAATTAATTAGTTGATTAAATTATTATATAGTTTCTAGACCAATTATATGTTATGAACTATGATTAAATTAAATAATTTGTAATTAACGATTTTGTTATTAGTCTCAAAGACGGCCAAAAAATAATATAAGTTTGGTTGCCTAACAACTTTGCTTGAACTAAATTCATGCATGAAATAAACTATTGTTTATTATATAAAACCATGACATCAAATGTTATAGAAATAAATTGCTTTTTGATAATCAGTAATTGATTTTCGCTTGATAGAAATTAAACTGTTACATTGAATTATAAACAAATTTTATCTAATTATTTTTCAGATTTTAAGAGCATACATTTAGCTAAGGTGTTGTTAATATCTATACTTGTTATAATAAAAGCTCATATACTGAAATTAATACGTCAAGATAATTGGGAAGATATAAGGATTGAAATACTATTGATAAGATAATATGTACGTTTGGTTGCCTATAAACAAGATTTAGTTTTGGCTTCTTTTTCGCCATCTATGATCATTTGTGCTAAGGTTGTAGTTGAGCACTTTCTGCGCTGTTCGAAATTCGACTTTCTAATTAGACTCTTAATGGATATTTCGTATTAATTAAAATATGCATTACTTAGTTATATTTTGATTGATAACTATTGGGATTACTTAGAACAATTAGTTATTAAACTATGAATCATTAAACTTTACCTTACAGCTCCATCTTGGGTAAATTATTAAAATTTCATTGTTAAACCTAAATATTTGTATTATTCGCTTTTTAGAACTGAAATTAATACTGTATTAGGACATTAAACATTTACCTGATTAATCTAATTATTAATGATGTTATTTTTAGTACTGATAAGTTTAAATAATGTTTGAAAAGTATTTAAGTTGGTTAGTTGTCTCTGTAAAGTTGGCAATTTGAAGCACTGATGACAAGCTGAAATTTTTGCTTGTAATCTTGCATCGAATATAAACATTTTACCATCTTTTCACCTGAATAAGTGTGTATTTATTCGCATAACTAATAAGTGCAAGATACAGTGAAGATGCCTGATCATTTGGGAGATGATATGAGGAAACAGAAGGTGGACGAGAAGGAGCCAGAAAAGGAAATAAAATGTATGTAACATGCAATAACCATTCAGCTGATGAAAAATAAATAATAAATATATTAATTATTATCAATTTGTTATAGCTTTGGACGAGGGGGACATCCTCTTACTGAAAACCTATGTAAGATATTCCAATATGAAAATTGTGGTGTGGAAATTTGATGTGTATGTGTTTATTTTAGGGGCAAGGACAATATACAAAAACTATAAAAACAGTTGAGGATGACATTCAATTCATCATCAAGAGGGTGAATGAATTGACAGGCATCAAGGAATCTGATACAGGATTGGCACCACCAGCTTTGTGGGATTTGGCTGCCGATAAACAGACGCTCCAGAATGAGCAACCATTGCAGGTGGCTAGATGCACTAAAATCATCAATGCCGATACAGATGACCCGAAGTATATTATCAATGTGAAGCAGTTTGCAAAGTTTGTGGTGGATCTTGCAGATTCTGTTGCACCGACTGATATTGAAGAAGGAATGAGAGTGGGGTAAGTTCTGTTGGAAATCCAATTGGAATGGAATTGTTAATATCTGTACGAATTTCGTAAATTTCAGAGTTGATAGAAACAAATATCAAATTCACATTCCGTTGCCTCCAAAAATTGATCCTACTGTAACCATGATGCAGGTAGAGGAAAAACCAGATGTTACTTACAGTGATGTTGGTGGTTGCAAGGAACAGATTGAGAAGCTGAGGGAAGTTGTCGAAACACCGTTATTGCATGTAAGTAAAAAAAAACTGTTGTTTCTGTGAAAATTGTTTAATTGTAATTGATGTATATTTTAGCCTGAGAAATTCGTGAAGTTGGGAATTGAACCACCTAAGGGTGTGTTGTTGTTTGGACCGCCTGGTACCGGAAAAACGCTCTGCGCTAGGGCAGTGGCCAACAGGACGGACGCGTGCTTTATTCGAGTCATCGGTTCTGAACTGGTTCAGAAATACGTCGGCGAAGGAGCCAGGATGGTCAGGGAGTTGTTCGAAATGGCGAGATCGAAAAAAGCCTGTCTGATCTTCTTCGATGAAATCGATGCTATCGGCGGTGCTCGTTTCGATGACGGCGCTGGAGGTGACAACGAGGTATTCCGAATCTCCAAAAATCTTGAATCAAATATTCTAATTGGATTATTATTTTCTTTGAACAGGTGCAACGTACTATGTTAGAGTTGATTAACCAATTGGACGGTTTCGATCCCAGAGGCAACATTAAAGTACTTATGGCCACCAACAGACCGGACACCTTGGATCCGGCTCTGATGAGACCCGGAAGATTGGACAGGAAGGTCGAGTTCGGTCTGCCCGATCTGGAGGGACGTTCGCACATCTTCAAGATTCACGCTCGCTCGATGTCCGTTGAGCGCGACATCCGTTTCGAGCTGCTCGCTCGTCTCTGTCCCAATTCCACCGGTGCGGAAATCCGATCCGTCTGCACCGAGGCTGGAATGTTCGCAATCCGTGCTAGGAGGAAGGTGGCTACCGAAAAAGACTTCCTGGAAGCTGTCAACAAAGTTATCAAGTCATACGCCAAGTTCTCGGCCACCCCCAGATACATGACTTACAATTAAATTAATTTAACGCCTCCATATTCATTTTTTTTTCTTTATTCAGTAATTATTAATAAATGTTTTATAATTTAATTATATAAATATATCTTTGCGCCTCAAATCTCAACCTTCATGCAGTTACGAAAATATTCGTTTTGAACTTACGCAAAGTGTGCCTGTAACTGTAAGCAATATAAAACCAAAATTCAGTATTTATTTCATATCTTCCTAAATATCAGCAAATCTTAATTCAAACTAATAGTAGGCTTTAAATTGAGATTATCAAAAAAAAAAACAATTAATTTTATTTCTATAACATTTGTTGTCATGGTTTTATCCAATAAACAATTGACTGCAGTCTTTCCAGTTATGCTTTCATATTTACAACAAGATACGGTTAATTAAATTGATACATATTGTCAAAGGAAGATAAGATAATTATATAATGAATAGGAAACTAAATCTGCTGAATAATATATTAGCTGTTCGGTTTTCGTTTGCGCAGTCCGCACATCCTCCGAAACCGAACCGTGTATTGTTGTCGTCGACGTGCTCGTTGCGAAAACGATGAAGAAAACAAAACGGAAAATGTAATTGGACGGAAACAGTCAAACGATAAGTGATAAGCCTAAACAAATAAGCAACGAAAGAAACAAAACGTAATTTATAGCAACGGTAGCGGCACGAGAAATGCTGAGCTCTTCGCGAAACAGGAAGCAGTTTTGTTGACACAGATTCTCTCTTACGTATGTACCGAAGATGTCTGTAAGTGATCCACTAATCAAAGAGTTAAAAGGTAAAACAAACTGATATTCTGTTGACGTTGATTAGGTAAGAACTCACGCTAATCAATACTTGTATGCACGTGTTACGTGGGTGGTGAATGACAGCAACGTATACGATTTTAACTTGCCTTTTTCAAGATTATTTTTTTTGCACATGAAAGTAATTCTCATGTTTTAAACATTTCCTAATAGAATTTAACATATTTCATCTGTATGTTACTTCCTACATTTAGAATACAATTCAAAGTATTAATTTTATAGTTATATGTTTTGTTTGTAAACGTTTATGAATTGACTTTTATTTTCAGTATTCACTGGTAAATTACTTGGATTTGAAGAAATAAACGATGATTGCGATGCGCTCATCGGCTTTTGCCAATGCGTCGAACGCATCTTCGCAAAGGGCATCTTGCAAAAGCCGAACTCCTTCGGTATCATAAGACGGATCGATGCCTGGACTTGGATGGAGAGGATTTCCAATGAGCTGAATGACTTCGGTTATAAAAGCTCGGTGGAATCCGCTCGAAATCGAAAGGACATCTTCACGAACCGAGGCAGATTCCGAGCCTTGGTTCGCTATTGCCTAAACAGAAGATGTCTACACGTTCCAGTCGAACAACTAGTATTAAAAAAAAAACTATTGCTCATATAATATTTTATAATTAAGAGACGTTTCAGATTCACACGGAGACATTCAACAAATATTACGATAACGTTTCTGTGATTGGAGACGTAATCCTCAACGAAATCCTTTTATCCGTCCTTTACCAATGCGGTAAAATCAATTTCAGGCTTCGCGCCGAGCTCTGCTCATTCTTAGATTTATCCTGGCTCATACCGGAGGTGAAACGCTTCGATTTGGTTCCTACGCAAAATTTGGGTTTGTCCATAAGCTTCGCCGGTGAAAAAGCTGTGATCGTGAACGTAAAATCAAATAGCGTTTGCGGCGAAAGTGTAATGACTGAATTCAATGTTCAATAGATATTTTTTTTCTAATTATTTTGCCTTTAGAGGAAGATTGCAGTGGGCGATGTATTGGATAGCATGAACGGAATGTGCATTTGCTTCGCAACCAAAGGTCGTCTCAGCACAATGCTGAAATGCCAGAAGCACGTACCGATCACTTTGATTGTCGTCAAGGGATTTTCCTCTTCGGATGGGAAGATTTACCCTCCCATGGTGAATCTCTACAAGGAAATCGACTTGGATTTGGATATGATCAAGGCAAGGAATAACGTAGACAGCGAAGATGAGAATAGGATTGCAACTACATTCAAATCTAAGTAAATTATAAAATTTTATATATATATTTTTTATGGAAAAGCGCTTTTTTTTAGGAATGGATTTATTTGCAAGTATTTGGGAAACGTCGACGTGGGTCGCTACGGCGATGTTAAGATCATCGACAAGGCTTTCACCATTTACCTGACGTCCAGCAACTCGAGTTACCACAGATTCAATAAGTGCAAGAGCGACGTTCTCTTTGAGGTTTGCGATTTGGGCGTGAAATGTTTCCATTTGAACACGACGGAAGTATAACAAATTTACTAATAATCCAAAATTGCTCAATAGATTAATACTTTTTTTTTTGAAGACGATATTGGAACATTCTTTTATGGAAATATCCGCTTGCGGCTCAACGACTAGCTTACCAACTCATTTCGCTTACATTGCCGGGTAATTCATTAGCGTTACTTAGTCACAAACATCTGTAAATTTCCTTTTATTTTATTTCTAGCGAAGAGTACTGCGACGTAGCAACAAACTTCAAATGCTACATTTTCTCAGCTTCGAACGAAAAGGACTGTACCACGATTTTGCAGGGTATAGGTATACTTATTTCTGTGAGTATGCATTAACGAAAAGACTAATACATTTATTTCCTACGGTCAGGTCAAGGATTCGAAAGGACTCACTACGCTGTGTGATTCACTCTACATGCAAACACACACATATCAATCAAACTTAGCTTTTTATCAACAATATATTTAATACTTTACAAACTGTATGCCTCATTGAATAACCCTGAAGGAGAAAAGTACTGATGTTTACACACACATTTATTACGCAAAATGAATATACAAATATAACAAAAAATAAACACAGCGTTTCAAATCTGCATATCTTATGTAAGTGGGAATTTTCGTGATTATTTGCTCAATTGAAGTGACTGATTTCAATTAACTACGAACGTTAATAAATGATCTCGAATTCAGTTAATAAAAGGGCTATATGCTACACTCGTTCGAGTTTTTACAGCTATACACAAGCAGTAGGAACAGCCCCGCATGTACAAATATCACATGATAACAATATTATAAAAAATTTCTCTTTCCATATATACAAATATATATATATAAAAAATACATTATTATTATATACAAAATTGGTTAATATTCTCATACTCGACTTCATCAATCCAGTCGGTTTTACATCTTGTCGATTAGGTAGTCTCTTGAGCCGATGTCGCTGGTATTGAAGCCGCCGTTGCTGGAATCGCTGCAGAGGCTATTATTTCGCGAATCGCAGATCTCGATGAACTCTTCGGCAATCGTCCTGTCCAGTCCCGTGTATGTCTTTGCAACATCTTCATCTGTAACTACGTGTTTTTCTACTGATTTACTGCGTGACCTGCTCTTCGATCTCATTTGCTGTTGCTGCTGCTGTTGTTGGAGTTGGATTTGCGAGAACGGAATTTGTCTTGGACGTCGGTAATTCCTCTACAATTTCAATAACATGCAATTTGTTGATAACAACGAATTAATTCATTGATCTTACATCTTTCGGAAGAGTCGGGATGATCGGCGAAGGTACAGGACCCAGCGGAGCTGGAATCAATGGGTAAATCGTCTGACCATAAACCGGCTGTGGAAGTGTGTAAATTGGGGAGATGGATAACTGCAAAGTAAGTGCACATAAATTAGGAATAATTAAATTTTGAACAATTGTTACCACAAAAATCAATTTATCTAAATTACATTTCTGTTACATCCTGTTTCCTAATTAGTTCAAATTTGCGAGCACTGTTATAACAATAATTCTCTTTCCTATTATTATTTTTTTATACATATATAAAAAAAGCAATTTCTTTATTCAATCTGCTAGAAATATTGAAATGCGGTTCAAAAGAAATAACGGCGACGAAATTACATTTATGAAAGTTGGAAAAAGTATGCAAACATTACTTTTGTGCTTCAATTTCGAATTATCGCCTACAACAAACAACAAACTTTCATAATACACAAACGTTTATTTGTTAAAGTGACCTGCATACCAAACGTTTTCCGCATCTTCGATCAATAAATGTAAATGACATAGATTATAAATGTATATGTAACGTAGAAGTGGAAACGCGCAATAAACATTTAAAAAAAAAATAAAAGACAGACCGTTGCGCAACGTGCGATCTCTTGGGAAACAAGTTCCAATTATACAATGCAATTAAGTTGGCTTCGATTGTCGGTGTGTGTGTTTCTGTATGCTGGGACGAAATTAATAATAATAAGTGTGATCAGGAAAGAGTGTTATTCGGATAATTGGCAACTTTCTACACGCTTCGCTAAAACCTAATCCTTGCAGCATAGACGCAATTATTTCATATTTTTATTTTTCATCTCGTTATTATTATTTAACAATCCTGCATTCTTTGCACGATAAAGAGTTCAATACACCGGACAGAAAGATGATGATGCCGGCGACTTTCTCTCCGGCTTCTGTGTTATTTGCATAACACCGACGAAATGCCATTAAAATTTCGTTTACGAAAACAAAAAAAAAGTAACAAAAATATGTAGAAAGGAAGGAATCATCATCGTGTAAACAAACCGCGGACTGCATCTGCTGCGTCGAATTAGTCACGCTTTTCGCTGCTCGATTCGTTAGAAAGCTTAGCGAATTTTTGAAGTAATTTCAAATTCAAATTCCAACTTGAAAACAATTAATTATGCAACTCGTTCAAGTTCGTGCGAGCGTTTAACAGCAATTTACATTCCGCTCAATAAATAGAACACGCTGTTAATTGTTCAATTGTAACGTATGCTGAATTCGTTCGGTATGCACGAATTCTTCAGTTTGAAAGATTTGCAGCCTCCTTAGTAATTACATTTTTTTTTGTATTGTATAATTGTGAAACTTATAACTAGTGAGCAAAGTTGAAATAATGAGTGTCTTCACGTTCACTCGTGTTTCACGAAATCTGTAAATGATAGAGCAACGTCTGAATATGTTGCTGACAGCTCAAACTGGAGACTATAATTAGTATATAATTACAAATGAGCGTCCGAAATTGTCTTTACATTTTTTTCGAAAACTATTTATATTTATTTGTCTATATGTCGTAGGTTGAAGCCTGTGTAGGAATAATTTTCATAAGACCTTCGATACTGCAAGTATTCTGATTAGAATATGAAATCTTAATTGCAAATGTGTAATTGTATGCGCACATTAATATTCTAGATTGCAAGAATTTGAAGGGTTTCTTCTCAACGCTTTGAAATCAACACCGACCGGTATTCCACTTAAATGGATCCTACCTTGCTGTGCTTCCCGATTGACGAGGGTGCGGCGGAGGGGACGGGCGCCGCTGAATGCACCACATAGATCTGCTGCGGTCCGGATGCCACCTGTGGATGTTTACCGAGCCAAGAGTTCACCAGGGAATCGCCAGCGCCAATCTTCAGATTACTGTGCAGGTTGTCCTCTTCACGCTTGAAGCAAGGGCAGACCGCTCTCGCGCCCCTATAAGAAGCAACAGCTGCACAGACGCACTCCAATGCGGAAACCACGAGAAGCCCTATGTTGGATAAAAGTGCGGGGTAATTCGATGGCAACACTTCGATTATGTCATCAGTTGCGTCCTCCTGCGAACAAAAGACAAACACACACGTAACGTAATCAGCAAAATATTTCCAGTTGCTGAACTTTTCATCTACTTTGCATTGCATACACTCGGATTAAGAAATATCGAAGATGCCATTGCGTGACCATGGGAAGAAGCAACAATGAGAGACGCCTTGAACTTTGGCACTTCGTCATGTTTGTAATGGAACAATTAAGTAATTGCCAGATGGATTGGGCTAAACTATACGGTTCGGTCACGTTTCGAACCTATTCGAGGCGCTGGATGATTGGACAAGGAGGAAGCCGCCGTTGGCAGTCGCCAACAACAATTTCCCACCGTGACATGCTAATAACGGCCGCTCACGTAGATCCATTTTGCTGTTGTTGTTGTTGTTGTGAAGAAGAGGTGCGAAGGAATAAATTGTGGAAACTGTAATCGATCCACTCATGCGAACCACATCCAATCGCAGATTGTTATTATGTATTGAAGAAAAAGAAACGGAAGAAGAAAAGAATACATAATAGTATAGGTGTACCCCGGTTCTGATTATCTGGGTTACAAGAGCGCACTCGTTACAAATAATATTCATCGTACGTTTACAGAAATTGGGAATCACGTTCAATCGAGTATTCTAGTTTAAGGCGGATCACATAATAATTTACATGTTTAGAACTATTTGAAAGAAAGACTAAGTAAAAGAAAAACAATTTCTGAAAATGAGAAAGTAAAATCTTCAAATTTCATTGATCCATATGATTGTTTATGGATCAAATATCTTGTCTATAAACTTGATCCATTTTTTTTTGTTTTCGTAAAGTGAAATCGAAACTTCCTGCGTAGCAAATATTGACGTAATTCCAATGTTCTCACACGATCAATGCATACATTAAGCGTAACGGTAATGATACAATTTGGAAGTGTCATCATAACTCACTACATAATACGATTATGTTAAATATTGTTAAGCTTTCATATTTCCGAAGTGTCCCTATGAATCTCAAGTATTCAAGTTTGTTTACTTAAGGTGTATCAATGTAATTTACTTGGCAAGTATTGTGTAAGAGACTTTAGTCGTTAAGTTACTGTATTGTTCTCATTTGTTTACGTTCTCATGGTGGATTGGAGACACGGAATGCGGTACGTCACTAATTAAGAGACCTGGAATTAAAGATCGCATTTCGCAACGCGGTCTCTCGCTCACGTGTACTCGCGTAAAACAACACACATACCTGTCTCGCTGTCTTTATTTCTTTTCTGTTTCATATGGAATATCAAATTATAAAAAAAAGTGATTGCTTTACGCCGTTAGATATGTTTCAAGGATGCACATGCATCGAGTATTGCGAATCGTTGCGTGAAGCAGACACATGTTTGTACGCAAGGAACAATTCACGCAGATGGATGAAAACGTGACCGAAGAAAACGTGACTCAAGGACGAAATTAGGATAATCGACTCACCTCGGCATCGATCTGGATGATCTCGCTCTTCTGCACGTCCCGAGCCAATCCTGTCGCCGCGAAGACGAGCACCAACTGGGCTATCGCCAAACTTATGAGACTCAACGCCAAGAAGACGGTTTGCGCTACCTTTTGCGCTCCGCTCTTCAACGGACAGAAATCTTTGGCCGAAGAAAGGATACCGGCAGTTCCGGCGGCTACAGCCAGACAACCGCCCCAGATACCACCCCCGATCTGAAACAAATGAAGCCCACATAAATGTATAGAGTAAGTCGATTTAATGGTTCGTAACTAATTTCCAGTCTTGTTAATGTTAATTTCGATCCAATTAGATTAGCGGCGCATAATGGATGAACACACTTTTTACGTGCAATGAAACTGGACGCACCGGATCCGAAGAGGATCACGATTACTGCCATTAATCCTCGCATCTTTATTGGAGCAAGGTATAAAAGAAATTTCAGCTCTACGCGCGATCATCTTCGTAATTAGACTCTCCGCAATTTTCACGCCTCAATTTCGCGATTTCTTCAATTAGAAACTGCAATTGGAAAACGGACACACACATATTCGCTATTTCGATATAACTAGTTAATGAGAGATTTATTCACAAATTTAGATTTAATCTTCTTTTTTTTTTTGTAAATAAGTCTTTGAAATTTGTATTTTGTTCTATTCGAAATTAGAGAACGGAACTCGTTGAACTGATGGACGGAGAAACGAAAAATCGAATTTCACTTTCCAAAGCGATTTATTATTATGGTATGCATATATATACACACTCTTTTTTCGGTTGCGCTCACTTTCGTTTGATTATATTAATCGGTCAAAGTAAAAGTTCCTTCCTCTTCGGCATCTCCTCCAGCATCGCGTTTGTCGTTTACATTATTATTATATATTTCGCTACGAACTAAAACGCAGATGTATCATAATCATAATAATAATATCTTCGACGTTCATAGGAGAAACGCGCAGATGTTCAATTTCGATATGATCGCCGCTTCCGACGAGGAAAGCTCATTATCGAGTCATCGCGAATTAAGCTGCTGCTGCTGCCGTTGCCAATAATTATTTCTATGCGATCTTGAATTCGAAAACTTTCTAAATTAGAAATTGAATATGGGGCGTAATAATAATTTATTATTATTATTTATAAAAAAAAACTATGTTTTTAATGAGTTTCAATGTTCGATTTGCTATTTTCTTTTTGCAATTCTTTCATTATTACTCGTTGTTATATAAAAGTTTCTGTTTAGCATGGAGAGCAGGAAGCAGGTTGCAATGCAGGCAGGAACAATTGTAGAAGGTGCAGGCACGTGATTTATACTTGCGTTGCTGCACCCAAAAAATAAAAACAACGTTTCGATTGACATTTTTATGGTGGTTCTTGTAATTCCGCGCTCATCCAACTCACAGTAGTGATCACATTCAGTGCGCTCGCTGTACATCTTTTATTCATTTTTGCTTTTATTTCATGTTTCTCGAATTCAAAGTGCGTTCAATTGGAGCAGAAACAAGTTTAAAATCTAAATATAACTACAATTATTTCCATTCTTGATCAATTAATTTATATATTTTATAGCCAGAATTAGAATTAAGTATCTTGTAAACTCTTGTACTCTCTCAGTAACAGATTGTATATGGATAATTACAAATTACAAAAATTACTATACAAGTAAGTCTATGTTATGAAACAATACACGAAATTATAGGCTTGCTTCCTATTTAAAAACGTTTTCATTTTCCTACTAAAAATTTAAATTATTTATCTGCCATAAACTTAAATTATTAGTAACTAAGATGTTGATGATTCACAGTATTTAATTGAATTGAAAAATGTAAAAGAAAATTATATATTTTCTCAAAATATTCATGTATGAACTAATTTTCTTATTTCACCATTCAAATTTTTAATTATTTATCTGTAATTAACGTAAATTAGTTCAATTAACTTTAATTTATGCTAACTGAAATATTAATTATTTATTTTTATTATGAATTGAAAATATTCGTTGATTTTGTCTTTGTTTTAGAAACTTTCTTGTTAAAAAAAACTGCTAATTATAGTTAACCCATGAAAGTTAAATAAAATATGTTTCGAATAGTACTTGGATATGGGTGATAAGTGTAATTTGATACAGAGTAACAAGTTTTAATAAGAACTTGAAAGTTTTCATAATTATTTTCTCGTTTGTGACTTGATGACATTCTGCATTAGTTAATTGGAATCAATTCGTTAATTGTTTAATTGACTTTAATTGATGATGATGATGATTACTTGTTGCAGTTAGTTTACCTGTGATAAGCTGGAATCGTGTAGGATTACGAGGATTCCGAAAACGGACATCAGAAGACCGCAGAGCATCTGCAGAACTCCCAGATAGAGGAAGACACTGTAACAGTTCTTATCACTGCCTCCCTTCTGCGCCACATACTGCAGATCCCTTTTGCTCGACATCGGCGATTCCTGCGGCGTCTTGCATATCAAGTGATCGGTGGAGAGCTTCGTCGAGATGGTGAGATTGTTCTCCGCGCTCTTCTCCGACTTGCCCTTCTCGGTCATTATATAAAGTGCAAAAGAAATACTATCTCCCCAACGAAACGTGCGGAAAAGCGTGGAAAATTAATAAACGGGAGCAGAGTGCGCTGCGCTCCGTTCGAAAGTTCGCGAACAACTAACAACATAGCGCGCCTCAGAAAATTCACGAAGAGCGAACGGCTCACGTCTCTCCGGCCGTTGGAGAAAGCTGCACCGAAGAGTCTCTCCTTCTGAAACATAATCGGGGACATTATATTACAACAACAACAGCAACACGAACAACAATGCGTCGTCCGCAAATCGGAAGTATCATCGCCGCACTTGTTGCTATTAACTAATGTAAACAACAAGGCTTCTTTCGTTTCAGAGTTGCATAAGTCTGAACAATGTTGCTCTAAATTTTTCTTTCGCTCGATACAAACGATTGACTTTTGCACTGCTGTAGCAAAGCCATTCGTGGACCAAAAACCGCAAAGTGCCCAGCGTGAAAGTGAATTGGCATTTTCAAGGAAGGTTGCGACACCCATTTGTTGTTACCAAGGCACGATTCCTGCAGACGCACCCTGCAATTCTCCCAGATGACGGGGTTCATCCATCAATTCGCACGCGAAATTTTAGGCAATATATTTGCAAAACAATCATCGTTACCGTGTGAATCGCTTCAATTATTTCAATTTTTTTGGGTTTTGTTGCGGAGCATTTAAATAACAAATATAAATATACACACACAAAAAAAAATCGGTCAGGAATTTTGCAACCTGAAAGAGAGAGGAGAGGCGATTGCTTTACTGTCGCAACCGCTTGCAGGCGAGACCACGTCTTCTTGCACAAAAGCCATCCCATATAGAAGGAACAGTTTAACTGAAATAGGCAAAACGGAGAAAGTGCAAACATTTTATATATGCATGTATCGATTTGTTGGTTTCTTGCCTCACATTCCTCGCAATGTAAAACTAATTCTTTATATAAAATATATTTGTATAAACCAAGGTCCTAATGTCAGTACATAAGTTTCCTGTTATTTAATTGCTTATTAATGTTCTGCCATTAAAATAGATTTACACTATTAGAACTTTGGACTGTAATTTATGTTTACAATAACATTAAAGAAATGTTCAAACGCAGTTATTTTTATAACGCAACTACGTTTAAAGTTTTTCTAATAACAATTTTTGTGGAATTTATCTTTTCCACTTAATCGTCACTTAATCTACATTGACTTAAGTCTAATCTTCTAATAGATTTTCTAAAGATTTGATTTAAGTAATTTTCAATATTTTCTGTTAATAAACAATTATATCATTTTATGTTTGTTAATGTAAAGTTTAAAATAATATTATGTTTCTAGAATCAATAATTATTACTAATATTTCACATTCATTGTTAAATTATGTTCTTCTAGTCAATATTGACAATAAAGTACTGTTATTTAATGATTGAAAACAGATTCCACTATTATTAAGTCATTACAATAACGGATAAAAAATTCATTGATTCTAAATTGTTGCTAAAACATCTCACAATCATAAATGTATGACCTAATAACAAAAAAAAAACTTTATTATTTATGCAATTTCTGACGTCGATGTATGTTTGGTTGCATACAACACAATCTGCAACATTTTGATTACATCGATGAATCTTATAATTATTAAAATTTATGTTAATTGCAAACGATTTTTACTTGAAAAAAAAATCTTATCGAAATCGCTAGATTCTATTCCGGCCACGTTCTCGACCTTCGAGCTCGGAATGCTGCTAAAAATTACAAAAATATTCAAATTTATTTCGCACGCGTGCGATTACAAAATATTAAGTTTCTAGTGGATCATTCCTTCAGAATCCGATTAATAAAAGAATACTTCATGATGATGTTAGAACGAAATTCAATGAATACATTTAAATACCGTTTATTTGATTTCCTTTATAAAATAACTATAAAATTAACGCAGGAAACGAGAACATTAATTAATGAAAAGATCCGTTATCCAAATAAATCATCGTTTAACAATGTGGGAAAAATAAAGCATAATAAATACAATTATTGTTAGAATTATAGCAATTCTTTGTAATTATCTTGAAAATTATTATACATGAAGTTTATTTAACAATTGTTATCTGTAATTTGATGTAAATTGTAAACTAATATTAATAACAATTGGAAATAAGTGTCACGTATTTTGCAAATATATGATATAAATATTTAACAGTTATTACTTTTTCCACTACTTTTTTTTTTGTTAAATGTTAAAACAATAGAATTGTTGTCAATTACAATTGAAGTGTTATCAAATTTGAATTGTTAAAATGCATGTTTCCATTAAGGACGCAACTGGAATACAAAGTTTTCCTAAACGAGGCGGAAGTTGAAAAATGTATTACATAATGCATAAATTGTCTGCGATTGCAGTCGAAATTTTAATCGAATTCCAAGGACTACGGTCATTCATTATCTTCAATGATAATCATCAAATGTTTGTTGAGGAAATCTACCTAGATATGCACGTAACCCCTTGTTGCTTAATCGAACGTAAACAGTGGAAAAACAGTTTCGAATTGCGAGACATCAAATTGCTTCCTGTTTTGTTTCCATAAAGGGAATAGGAAACAAACAAGAAAGATTCCACTATTATCGGGGCACCTACTACGATTCGACTATCTCATCCTCGTTACCTAAGCTTCCTGCATTGCATGACCTTAACATTGATAATGAGCAAGGAGGCGGTGGTGGGGAGTGCAGGACCTAGTCGGACGAGAAGCGAGCCTCCAAATTCAGTTTTCAGCCGGCATTTCCAAGAGCCATAACAAAAAGTACAAAATAAACGGAACAAAAAAAAAACAACAAATATATACATTCGCAGACTAGATACAATACGATTTCAATAAGATTTAAACGAGAGAGAATCAAAAACTAGAAGAAACAATGGAAATTGTAGTGAACAGTCCGAACATCAAGTACACAGATAAATTCATCGAAGCCAAATATGAGTACCAAACCACGACCGTCGAGACGAGGGCCAATAAATTACATGTAAGAATTATTCTTTGGTAATTCAATTAGTGTTGGATTACAGAATTAGTACCGTATTTCATTTATCGGGTAATCGCTAATAAAAGTTTTAAACTTAAAAATGTACCTTGCAATTCATCTCTTATTATGTGTTAAAATTATCTTCGGATTATAATGTAATATACGATTTCCTTGACCTCCGTTCAACGATTCGCGCTTCCCGAAAAATCAATAGCTCTGAGAGAAAGCTCTCCCGCGCCATCAAAATCACGCAATAAATATTGACCGTTGTCTTCATTTCATGTATTGAAATTAGCGAATATATTTTAAAAAGAAAATTAGTTTTTCTTTTTGCATTTAAATGTAATTATTTTATTCGTTATTATTAATGATTTTATTGAAATAGGAAGTAGCTTTATTTTTGTGCGTTATCTGTAGTTTACTTTACAAAAAAAAAAATGCAGACGTGCCGAGATTCCCTGACGTTATCGATTCGAGTAAAATTATAACATCATACGAGAATCGAACGATAAGATTACAGCAGTCCGGCTGTTTGAACACGTAACTGTGTTACGAGGACCTCGCTAATATAAAAATTCTAGATAATATCTGGATTCCGGGATCAATCGAAACGGTTCAATGACTCTAAATCTCTTCCAGGCTGTCCCGAAAACCGATTCCATCGATATCCAAACGGAGAGGATCGTTCCGAAGGTCGGCGTGATGCTGGTAGGATGGGGCGGTAACAACGGCAGCACTCTGTCCGCAGCTCTTCTGGCCAACAAGTTGAAATTGTCTTGGCCGACGAAGAAGGGCGAGCAAGAGGCCAACTGGTTCGGCTCGATCACGCAAGCGTCGACGGTTCGCTTGGGAACCGGCGTCGACGGGGAGGACGTCTACGTCCCGATGAGCACGATGCTGCCGATGGTCCATCCGGATAATCTCGTCGTCGACGGATGGGACATCTCCAGTTTGAACATCGCGGAGGCGTGCAAAAGGGCCGGCGTTTTGGATCCGATCCTGCAGCAGCAGATGCACAAGGAGCTGTCGCAGCTGAAACCGAGGCCTTCAGTTTACAGTCCAGATTTCATTGCAGCAAATCAAGTAAAGTCGTTTAATTACCTTTACTTCAATTTTTTAACATCTCACACGAATTAACTTTGTTGATCTCGGTGGTTAAGTGAATAATTCGAGTACTTAATCCACTTCGTCATTAAATTGAACACTTATAGTAAATTCTTTAATATGAAGCGTTTATCGAATTGTTTTTAAACTATTGAATAAGTATCTCTATTATATTTCGTTTTAATTTAGGCTGACCGCGCTGATAATCTTATAATGGGAACGAAGCTGGAGCAGGTGCAGGCCATCTGCAACGACATCGAGGACTTCAAGAAGACATCTGGCGTTGAGAAGGTGATCATCCTTTGGACTGCAAATACTGAACGTTTCAGCGAAATTATCAAGGGCGTCAACGATACCGCGGCTAATCTGAAAGCGGCCATCGCCAAAGGACACCAAGAGATTTCTCCGTCAACCCTTTTCGCCTACGCCTCGATTCTGTCGAATGTAAAAAAAATGCATTTCTGCAAACATTCATTCATTACATAATTCGATTGGTTTCAGTGCGTTTACATTAATGGTTCACCGCAGAACACATTCGTGCCAGGTGTCTTGGAAATGGCGGAAGCGAAGGGTGTTTTCATCTGCGGCGACGATTTCAAGTCCGGACAGACGAAGATCAAGAGCGTTCTGGTAGATTTCTTAGTCAGCGCCGGCATTAAACCAGTCAGTATTGTTAGCTATAACCATTTGGGTAATAACGACGGTAAAAACTTATCAGCCCCAAAGCAGTTCAGATCTAAAGAGGTAATTCGCAATCATCATTATTAACGAAGCAGTCAGTTTCATTCGCAAATGATTTTTTTTTTTTTTAATTTTAGATTACCAAAAGTAATGTTGTTGATGATATGGTCGAGTCGAACAATATCTTGTATCCGAACGGCGAGAAACCCGATCACTGCGTCGTCATAAAGTACGTGCCGTATGTGGGAGACTCGAAGAGGGCCATGGACGAGTACACTTCGGAAATCATGATGGGCGGTCTCAACACCATCGTTATTCACAATACGTGCGAGGATTCCCTACTCGCCACACCGATAATACTGGATTTGATCATCTTGGCGGAGCTCTGCACGAGGATCGCCTTCAAGAAACCCTCAGAAGCCAAGTTCTCAACTTTCCATCCAGTATTGTCGATCTTAAGTTACCTGTGCAAAGCACCTCTTGTACCCAACGGCACACCCGTCATCAATGCCCTTTTCAAGCAGAGACTCTGCATCGAGAACGTTCTAAGGGCCTGCCTTTCGTTACCACCAGACAACAGTATGCTCCTCGAGCATAAAATACCGATGCTGATGAAGCATCAAGATGGACCATGCCCTAAAAAAGCCAAATATGAAAACGGAAAACATTAATAATTCAATGTTTACAAATTAAATATATTCTCCCTATTTACGTATTGTTAATGAAAAATCAATACTGTTCGGTCTCTTGAAATCAATAATAATTAATATACACGTATGTTTAAAACTAAAACATTTATTTCATTCTCTTAAATATATTTCTACAATAATATTGTATGTGTATACGTTTAAAATAAATTAATTCGATAACAGTCAATGCAAAAAAAAAAAACCGATTACAACCAATATACACGCGCGCGCTCATGCTTGCGTTTTATTTATTTTTTTTTGCTTTAAACTTAATAATATCACATAGATTTACGGATTTTGGAATTTGTCTTTTCGTCTGCATCCCTCTGTGAAACTAATCGATTCGAGTAATATATTAAACATTCAATTTTGCGGCGGAGAAGGCGGCTGTTCTTGCGAATCATCCGGTTCAGGTTGTTGCAGCTGCTGCGGAGCTTCTTCCTCTTGAGTGGGGGGATCTCTGGAGGCTCCACCTTGGGGCGGTACACCCTCGTAGTCGCCACGGTGACCCAATAGGAAATCAATAATACGATAATCTTTTCCGTTGTCGGTGTTGGCGATCCACAGTGGAAGCCACTTGTTGACCAGAAGCCATTGCACTGAAACTTTGCTTATGCGACCTGTGGGGTCACAGCCTCCGTACAATGCCTCCAGATTGGAGTAGTGGCTTCCGTTGTCGATGCCGCTTCCGCAGGATGAGCTCAGATGTCTCTCGATGCGTCCAATTCCATGACCGATTATATCTATTCTACCGTAAGCGTTACCGATACGACCGTACGTGCTGCTACAACTAGGAATATCATTCAGGTTTGGGGGAGGTGCTGGGGGCGGAGGTATCGACGACGACGAAGGCTGGATCTCGTTGGTCCGCCTCCTGATTTCGTCGATGCTTTCGTAAATGTTCTCATCTACTTGATTACTATTGCTGGCAGCAGGGTCATTACTGATCGTCTCGTAGACGTTTTCGTATGTCTGTTCCTTCGATGTCGACGGTTGTGGATCGTAACCGACCGCCCCCTCGGCGTTACTATTATCATCGGAACAATTTGCATACCTGAAAATGCTGACGTGGTAGATAAAGCGTTAAAGTTATATGTATTATTAAACGAATCGATTACCTGCCAGTGGTGACCCCATTGCCAGCAATGGCCAAACTTCATATGGGCTTGTCTATGATCGCGACACCAGCGTAACTGCGTCCGATCTCCATGAGGCTGGTCAAGATAGCCCACGTGTCCGTCTTCGGGTTGTAAACCTCAACGCTGGACAAATTGCAGTTACCATTATCGCCACCCACGACATAGAGAAGACCGTTCATGGCTATAACGCCGGCGTTACGTCTGCAGAAGGCCATGTCGGGAATCTCGGACCATTTCCTTGTTGCAGGATCGTAAGCCTCCACGGACTTCCGAACCGAAGGTCCGTCGTGTCCACCTACTGCATAAAGTATACCTTCCAAAACGCCAACACCGGCGCCGCTTCTTCGGAAGCACATGTCGGGAACGTTACTCCAACTGTTTGCTTCCGGATTATAACATTCGACCGAATTTAAGCATTGCCTAGTGAAGCCGTCATAACCTCCGACCGCGTAAAGCAAACCATCCACAACCCCAACTCCAACACTACTTCTTCTAGTCGACATAGGAGAAATCGATTTCCACTTTTGCAATTGCGGATTATACATTTCAGCGGTATTTAAACCGGTAGACCCATCAAAACCTCCTACAGCGTAAATACAGTTCCCTAATACGGCAACGCCGAGCGTAGAACGTCTCGCCTCCATACTCGTGCACGTATTCCATTGATCCAAAGCAGCATCGTAAACGTCCACAGTTCTAACACGCAAAGATCCATTGAAACCACCCACAGCATAGACTTTCCCATTTAATACAGCCAAGCCAGCTCTAAAATTCAAATTATTATAATAACAGCTTAATCAAATTTCATTTCCATATCTATACCTGCAACGTCTCGTCGGCATATCCGCAACTTGATACCATCTGTCCTCTTTAAAATCATAGCATTCAACGCTTCTAATAGCTTTAGGCGCTTGCCCTCCCACAACCAGAAGCACTTTTGGTAACCCAACCGGTTGCCTTGGCTTAGTCCGTGGCGTTTTGAACGTAATATTAGTGTCACCTTTGAGCAAGTGAAACTTTAGGGCTTCGATCAAAAAATCTTTGCATTTTAAATCTGTCTTCAGCAGCGGTTCCTCCTCAACACGCTGCATTAAATACTCCTGCGACATCAGTGGGAGTCGCACATGTTCCATGAGAGAAGCGAGATGGTTGGTTCTCGCATCCAGATCGTGCTGGACCCAAGCTATAACGCATTCGAAAACCCTTTCCTCTGAAGGAACAGTCAAACGATCGCTGCAAATCAATTTGCACACCTGCTGTTGCGATAGCGTGAGAAACTCCTCACATTCGACAACCTCTCTAAAATTTAAAATTATTGTCTGTACGGTCTACAACTGTAACTTTAGTTTACGGAAAATGTTGTTCGATGTAAGATTCAGCGTGACTTAAAAGCTCCAAGCAGCCGTGAAGATCCGCGAAGGCCCGAATACCCAAACAGTTTGTGGGATGCAACTGGGATTGCAGAAATTCGCAGCAGGCGTCTCGCACGTCAGTCAGTTGAAGCAGATTTGCGGCCGGAAGCAGCACCTGCACATTCTCCTCAGTCACCTGCACCTCTGAGGTATAAACATACTCAATTAGGAGAGACAAAGCCTGAGAGTCGACGCCTTGCAACGTGATCTTGTCTTGTTTGCTCTCCTCAAAGCTGTTGAACATCGCGTAAAAGTAAGGCGAACATGCAGCCAACACCATTTTATGAGCGGGTACCTCTACATCATCCGCAATTAACGTTACATCGCAAAGTTGCACCTGTCTAAAAAAAGAAAGAAAATCATAAAGTTTGTACTGGGTCCAAGCAAACGTTACAAACAACTTACTTTCTCATCAAATTGATAACATTGAATGCTTTTATAGTGTGACTGTAGTTATGATAAGGTGGCTTCTCCTTTCCAGATGGCCTAGAAATATGCTTCTGGCTGCTCTCATCCAAAGAATTCTGACTGGCATGGCGCAGCAACAAATAGCTGTAATTGTTAACAGGAAACATGTTTAGAATCATCTCTCTTGTTTTATTGAACTGCGTGAATGTTACATATTCTTCATTTATACAAATAATTATTAATAACAATGTTGTATTTTTCATAATTAAAAATAATTTTAGCAAATTAAAAATAATTTATTTAATGCTGAGAACAAGTAGTTGTTGGAATGACAACATCAAAACAAAAGCAACTATAATTACTAAATAACAACAGGTAAACAAAATGTGGTACAGTTTTGGCAAAACGTTTTCAGCTGCTGAAGAGCATGTGTTGATTTCTAATGCATTATTCAACAGTGCACGAAAATTCTTGAATTTCTATAGTCATAATGGGGAAACCTTGGAACTCACCTTCCTTGCCTCTCGATCGTCTCGCCGTCGTTCTTCTCCATGTCGAATCAACGGAAACAAAAGGAAAAAAGAGACGCTCGCCAAGCGGGCAACAAAGGAAAACTCACGAAGATGTTGATTGTTGATCGTCCAAGTTTACAATCCAAACATTACGTTTACACTTTCACTGCTCGCCCCAATATCTTCCCTGTCAGCCCTCCTCCCACGATCACAGCTGCGATAGAAACTAAAGCAAACACAAATTACGCACCATAATTGCCATCAGCTGTTTGTTTGTTGCCTTCAGATGCCTTCTTTTGCTTGTTCAGCACCTAAAAACGAAGTTGCTTCGTCGATTGCAGCGCCAAGCCAGATGCAACACACGCATAAACAACGACCAAAACAAACGTCCAAATATCACAACTTTACATAAACATCTCTACAATTCTTATATTTATATAATACTTGAATAAACCAAACTTGAACCAGTTAATTTTTGTTTACTTTTTGATATATATTTAAGTAATTTTTCCAATCCGCAACCCAAAATACAAAATAGATGTTCCAAAAATGCATAAGCTCTTAATTTTAAATATTTCCAGGTGTCATCAAACAATTATATAATTATAACATAAATTCATTCAAACTTAATAGTTCTTAATTTGTAAGAATACAAAAATGTTCATATACAAGAACATTTTATTAATAGTTTGTGAATAATTAGCACATAAAATAAACAAAATAGATTTTTCTTCAAATAGTTTATTATTTTAATTTAACTAAAAAAATGTTATCCAAGAAATGTGTATATTTAATCAATACACAAATTGTTATCTATTCTTCTACATAAAACTAAATCAGTGACCTGCATAATGCTTTCCGACGTGATGTCGTACACCCCATTTGAAATTTGCATGTTTGTCAGTTTTTACGTAAGTATGAACTGGACCGGTGATACCTTGTCCATGGTCTCTCTTGAACCGTACCAATTCTTCAGCTGAAGAAGAAAGAAACAGTTATAAGTCATATTATATAATGTTGTTAATTCAATTCAAATACCATCTTTAAGTTGATAGGTTGCACAAAAGACTGGAGCCAGTAGGGAGAAGAGTGCGCAGGCAATAACGAAGATCTGAAAATGAGAATATTAAAAAAAATAAATATTAAATGAAATGTACACTTACGGTGCTGTAGATATTCATGATTAGTTCCAATAAGTTTCGTGTGATAACTCTGTATGAGGTTTGATCGAATCCATCCACATTTATATCGGACTCGGACAACTTTCTTCGCACTTTTTTCGAACGCTTTTCTTTGCCCAATCTTGTGGAACACTTCGTTCCGTTACAACGATTACGATTTTGTTTTCATTTGGTGGTTTAGTTTTCACCGATAGATTTCTAACAAAACAACGTTTATCAAATTTCTTTAGAAATTAAAACTTAACTAGTTTCATTTCATCTATTTGGCTACAAAATGCAGTAATTAAACATTTACGCTCGAAAAACGGTATGTTCATATTTTGTGATTTTCTCAGAAACTATAAAAGACAAAATGGATACAAAAGATGCATTTGAAAGTTGGATTTGTCAGGAATGTATCGTATATTCAAATATTGCTGTAGTTTGAGCCATTTGGCTGTATTCGCTTTTAAAAAAGAAAATGCACGAAAAAGCAGTGTTTTCACATTTTAGTGATTGTCTCTTAAACTGTAATAGAATGAAAGGATCAAAAAGGTGGATATTCAATTATTGCTTTGAATTAATATATATTTTATTTAAAATTGGAAATATAAGTTTTTAAAATATTTTTATTAATTAGGCAATTTTTGCACAAACGAACAAATTAAGTTGCCTATGTGTTTTGGCTGTCAGTGTCGCTTTCACTGACAATGTAAATAAACAAAATCTTTACTATAGGAAGTCCGGTAAAAGTAATTTTGTGTATATGTTTTTGTATTCCTAATAAGAATGGAAACAAAAGGTGGTTCGAATATGTGGTGGCTGAAGAGCAACAGTAAGAAAGTGTGTGATAATGAAGACAATAATAAATTGGATAGGGAAATCACATCTTCCTTGGCTGAATATTTGGAGAATGAAAAGGATTCCAAGCAGAGTGATGATGTCAATGGGAATGAAGATGACGATGTTGATATTGGTAGCATATTGGAGGAAATCTCAAGGATCTCAGCGAAAAGTCCATTGGGTAAATGTTTGTTTGATCTTCATGGTTTAGTGAATGAAATGTGATATATTTGCAGGTCCATATGATAACTTGAGTGGAGAGAGAAGTATTGAAGACATCATGAAGGAAGCTGAAAGACTCTACATGGAGAGCTCCAAGAGTTTCGAACACTTGAGTCAGAAGTCAAAAACTTCTGAGAATGTAACAGAGCTGGGCAGCAATAGAAGTAATAATTCCACACCAACACCAAAGAGCTTGAGCCCATTGCCATTGGATGAGGAAATCAAAAAGTCCAGTGATTCTGATGTGGAGAGTGAAGTGAGCTTTGTCAGTGAAGAATCAATCAAAGAGACCAAGTATAGTCTGGATTTTGAGACAGCTTCATCAAATGAGAAGGTCACAGAGGGTAGTAAACATGATTTGGAGGAGATTGAAAAGAAGGATGGTGTTATTAAGATGTTGATTCTGGATAATAAAGGACTTAAGGAGGAGATTCAATCATTGCAGGTCAGTATAGAAAACTTAGTTTATTTTGAAATAAATATGGCGTGGGATTAAATAGAGTAAAGGTGTAATTTAAGCTGCGGCTGCCTGGGCTATGACCCGCAGTGCTTGCCACGCCTCTGTGGCCGTGGGTTTGATGTACGTCGCTGGAAGAACGAACCCGTAACGACCTGAATCTCTAAGTTCGATCGTGTACGCGTATTTCATTCCGACAGTGCCCTTGGCCCAATCATCTGATCCTCCTGATGCTGGATACAAGGTGCTGCCGGCCGGTCCGAATGTATATGCTGGTCCTCCGGAAGCTCTTATGGCCTGAAAACGAAGAAGCAATTATGTTACATTCTGTAAATGTTGTTTTTATTCAATTTTCGTACATTGGAAGCCTTTTGAGCTACAGTTTGTAATTCCTTGTAGTCCGGTGTTACCACTCTATCGTATCCCCATGGATACAAAATGTATTGGCCGTAGGAGTGGAAGGACACGTAAGCCCTCCACTTTGCTTTCGTGGACGTGATGAAGGTACGAATCGCAGCGGTTTCTGGCTCGGAGAAAGGTCCGGTCCCGGCGTATATCTCCTGGCACGGATTGCGTCCGCTTCCTTTGCCTCCCCATTTGTATCTGAATTATGTACAATCATTAACATAAAGTAACATAAATATTTGTTGCAAATATGGTCTGTACCCGAAATTCCTGTTGAGATCGGTACCGGCGCATTGACCGGACCTGGCGCGATTCTTACGCCACAGTCTGTCCGTGGTGTGAGAGTACTCGTAACCGTCTGGATTGGCGATCGGCAGGAAATACCAGTCAATATTCTGCAGCTCATTTGGTTCGGAGTCGATGTTCAGCACCAAATGGTTGATGATGTAAGTCACCGTCGCTGGTGAAATCCACTCTCTGGCATGCATACCACCATCCACCCAGATCGCCTTATTTCCCGGTTTTCCGTTGCTGATCTTCAGCAGTTTCAGAGGTCTTCCGTGGACGCTGCTGCCGATCACCTGCGAGCTGCACAACGCTGGATAGGTTTGCTCCAAGTAGTCCAAATAGCTGTGGACGTCGTCCAGCCTGTGGTAGGCTTGCCAGGTCATCCGATGACCTGAAATACAATCGCATCATTATTAATACATGAATATTAAAGATTCTGTCGGCGTCCGACATCGGACACTTAACGGTGCAAATAATACAAGTGGGACAAGCAGTACAAAGTGTGCGAGCGTGTTTCTCATTATTGTTTGTGCTGTAAATTAACGAGATTTCGGTGCGAACGGAACGGGCAAAACTTCTACATACACATCAAAGGAATTGTCCAAAATTACGGACCCCAGTTTGCGCTCGGCCACATATCAAGACGCTTCCCGAACGATGTCAAACCTCTCCGTGCAGACGCGTAACTCTTCTCTATAAAATCCAATTCTTTATTCTTCATATTCCGAATTCAAATCTCCTTAAAATAGATAAAAGAAAACAACGATCATCTCACCTTGTCTGTTTTCCAGTCCTTCGTCTTCATCTTCATCCACCGGTGGATTCTCGTCGTCGATGGCTTTCTGCAGATCATCAATGATAATCTCGTATTGAATACCATTCAAGTCCAGCTGATTCTTCACCAAACCCTTGGATTTCGCCTTGACCAACACATCGATTGCAGTTAAATTCCCACCCCACATCGAAAGATCTGCAAATACTCTAGAATTAATACCTTAAAATGATGCAATCATTTAAAGTTACCTCTGGTGTCTCGCAATTTTGCAATCACTTTTTTCTTGCTGTTGGTCTCGAGGACCACTTTCCACAATTGACTGCCGGCGTACGAAATTTTCTCTTCGTTTTCTTGCAGAGGCTTCTCGAACTCTACATCGGCGATCCTCAGCGTAGCATTGCCTAAAACCTCTTCATCTGCTTTGGTGATTTCTTCCGGTGCGATATTATCGCTGACGATTTCATCGGTTTCTTCGATCACGGGAGTCGCGGTTGCGATCACCGCAGCCGCACACAAGACCAGAACGGCGACCTTCATCGTTGTAGTTCCTCAGCGGTTGCTCGTCGCTGCTTTTATAAGAGCCTCATTTGAATGACCCAAATCGAACGGTACAATTCCAAACCAGACGTTGTTCTTTTCATTTTATTTCTTTTCTTTCTTTCTACTGTTACTATTCGAAGATTTATTTGGTTCTTCAATCTGTGTTATCGTTACATTTAATTTCCAATCTCGGAAGTCATTCTTTAGTTCTCAATGGTTCGCCGTTACGCATGAATTTAGCGAGTTATTTGCATGAATATATTTAGTATCTTGTGAGGTTGGGCTTTCCGGGAATGTACATTTTGTTTTGATGCGACGACATTCCGCACATCTAAAAACCGGCTATATTGATGAAGCGAGTTTTCAGTTTAATTACACTTCTTTACGTTTTTTTTTCTACTTTTCAGAGCAGAATCGAGGAGACGCATCGACTGTTCGAAGAGGCTAGAGCACAAAATGAGAGTCAGGAGTTGGTCGACACTCTGGAACGGCTCAAGGACACGGAGGAAGCGAACACCGCGTTGCAACTGCAGTTGAACGAGACCAATAGAGCGCACCATGCGCTTAAGACTAATTACGAGGAACTGCTCGACTCTAATAAGATCCTCGAGCGAAAGCTGTTGGACGTCGATGCTGCCATGGAAAAGTACAAGCAAGAATTGCTGCAGGCTATGAAGCAGAAAGATAAGGTTTCGGAAAGCGAGATCAGCATGACTAAGCTTTTGGAGGTTGAGAGGTTGCAGGTCAAGAATTTGAAAATGCAGTGTGAGAAAGATGCAAAGTCCATATTGGATTTGAATAGGCAGATTAAAGAGATGGAGAGGATTATAGCGAGGAAACATCCGGATTCGGTTTCCGCTTTGATTGTCGCTGCAAAAGGTGAATCGGTGGACAGTCGCAGGGTGCTGGAAGAAAGAATCAAGGCTTTAGAGCAAGAGGCTTTGGCCCGAGACGCACAAAACTCGCAAGTCTTCATCGATGTCCAGGAGAAGTTTAATCAGATGAAATTAAAGTACGAGAGTCACATCGACGATCTCGAGTTGCACGTGAACGATCTGAAGATGCAACTGAAGAGGAAAGTGGACAGTTACGATGTTTACACGCAAACTGCTCGTGAGGATCAGAAGATTCCGCAGAAGGACGTGAGCAGCGTCGCTGTGCAGGTTGGCGATAGTGGTAGAAGCGCCAAAACTGGAAGGAAGGACGATGCGCATCTTCTGGCGACGATCCGCGGTTTGCAGGCAGATCTGACCAACAAGGAGAAAGTAAACGTTAAACTGCAGAAGGAGATTGAGGAACTCAGGAAGACGAATCGACGATTGCAAAAGGAGCGCGAGGGTAGCTTGAAGAATTTGACGGATCGTCGAGAGTTCCGCAGTTATCCGGAGAAGTTGGCCGAACAAAAGGATACCAGTTTAGAGGACGAATTGAAGGCAGTCAGAACGGAACGGGATAAGATGAAGAAACAACTTTGCAGGATCGAAGAGGACTATCAAGCCTTGAAGGCTAAACGCTTGCAAGACGTAAGATTATTACCGTAGTTTCGTTCAAGCCATTTTCTTATTTGCTTTCTTTTTTCTGTTTTGCGTTCCTTTCTTTTTTTTTGTTTTACGTTCATGCGATTCAGTTGAATACGTTGCAAGAAGCACACGAGCGTGAGATTTCCACTTACTTGGCGAATATAACACCGCTTAGGGAGCAGCTGGAGGTGCAGCAGGTCTCGATAAGCAGCCTCCAGCAGCAGCTGATTGCCGCCAAGGAAGAGTTAGCCGTCGTTACAGTCGAGAGGGACCACTTGAATAATAAAATGTTCGTCGTCAGTCGTCAGGACATCCCCAATGGGAACGAACCTGAAGTCGTTGCTCTGAGGAACAAAGTGAGATCATCGAATGTACAAACTCGATCGTATTCTTTCACGGTCATCGATCTCTCTCGTTTCAGGTTTCAGTGTTGGAGATGAAGTACGAGGAACGAGAGAACCGGTTGCGGGCCATAGTCCACGGACTGGCACAGAAGTCAGTGATGAACAGGAGCTGTGACCAATGCGCGACAAGACAACAGCAGCTGATCGGATACAAGGCCGAACTCGACCAGTTGATAGCCACCTTAAGATGCCTGAAATAGCGAGAAACACACATTTTCAACTGCTTGCCACACCGTCCTCCATTTATATTTATTTCCATTACTTCATTTATCTTGAGTAAATAATAATAAGCACAAACAGAGGCTGTACAAATCAATGAATCATTTATAAAAAAAAACAAAAAATGGTTTACTCTTATAATACTCTTCCATTTTTTTACTCTCTTGATCCAGATCATCTGGACATACATAAAAAAAAGTATTATTATATAATCGTCAAAAAGAATGTTTCGTTCAATTTCTAGCAATTAGCATCTGATTTTGTAACGCTATTGTATAAATAAACGATTCGAATTTTACCTGTATATTGTTTTCCATTCTATTAAATTATACTTAGCAAATCCTAATTCCCATCAATATTTATAAGGTTTAAAAATTCACGAGTCAATTTTGTATGCTTTCACAATAGTTTATTATTCATATTCATTTAATTGTTTATAACGAGTAATATATAATTTTGTGGATTAAATACATTTGCTATATATTATATACTAAACCAAATTTGGCAAATTCAACTAACAATATCTTATTTTATATAATGTCAATAGGTACGTAAAGCATGGCCTGGTCGTCGTTTCCAAAAGTTCCAATTTAGTAGAGAAGTTGCCTCGCAGATGTTAACCATCCCTGCAGTCCCCGAGATCTGCAAATATTAAGAAACACGTCTTAAAGAATATTCTATTTAATCACAATTGGTTAATGCTTACGCGCTGATCTTGGAGTTGTCGCTGTGCGACAGAAACTGTATAAGAATGAAAGCAATCATCAAGGTTTTCGCGGCATCCAGGAATTTTCCCTCCGGCTGGAAAGACATCTGCAAATCAAATTCTCTTGCATCGTAGGTCCAACGATGCATTATATTCTCCATTCCATTAATTCGTTCATCTCTAATATCCCTTTCAGGTTTTCCATTCGACGAAATGCTGATTTCCAATTCGTTTTTACGAGATTCATCTGAAATTCTCTTGGAAACATCTCCGCCATTCAAAGTTCTTTCGGATTCACGATTGATGGATTCCCTTGAATCTAGCAGATCCACTCGACTCTGAATTCTTTCTGAACGTTCCAATCTATTTTCGTTGAATCTGCGATTACCAGAATTGTTTTCATTTCTGTTTTCCAAAACGTTTCGTCTTTCTCGGATGTTTCTTTCATTTACACGGTTTCCATTATTTTCTCTTTGTTCTTGCCTATATTCCATACTCCGTGTGTTAACATTACGTTGTTCTTCGCTTTGAAATTCTCTCAAATTTGCTTTACGTCCAGTGAATACAATTCTTTCTTGATCTTTACTTTCTCGAGAATATCTAGAATCAATACGTTTATCTTCAGATCCAAAACGACTAATCCTTTCCCGGACAATCGTTTCATCTCTTCGAGATTCAATTCTGTTTTTCTCTTCATTGCGTCTTTCTTCATTTCGTGATTCCCTCGAGTTTAATTTTCGTTCACCAGAGACGTTCAGTCGACTCTTATTTTGTTCTCTACTTTCTCTGACATCCCTCGCATCAATGCGATTATTCCTTGAGCGTTTTTCTCTCCTTTCTCGATTTTCCCTCGAGTCAACATTTCGTTCATCAAAGACAGTATTGTCCTGATCTCTATTTTCTCTTCGAGTTTGCCTAGTTTCAATCCTACGTCTTTCGTCGGCGCGTCCTCCAAGTCGAGATTCCATTATGTTCCTTTCGTCGGAGATGATCCTTCGAGTATTATCCTGATCTCTATTTTCGTTAATATCTCTGGAATCAAAGCGACTGTTTCTTGAACGTTCTTGCCTTTCTCCAGCAATCTTAACATCCCTTTCATGTTGCCTAGTCAAATCCCTCTTCAAGACTTCATTTCGTCCTTCTGCGCGTCGAGATTCTCTTATGTTTACATTAATTTCCTGGTCTCTATTTTCCCTTCGGTTTTCCCTGGTTTCAATTCTACGTGTCTCTTCGTTACGTCTTTCTTCGCTTCGTGATTCCCTCGAGTTTACCTTTCCTTCACCGGAGACAATCCTTCGAACATTTTCCTGTTCCCTGTTTTCCCTAACATCTCTTGAATCAATGCGATTATTTCTTAAACGGTCCTCCTGCCTTTCTCGAACAATATTAACATCTCGATTTTCCCTTTGATCATTTCCAATCTCAACTCTCTGCAAATCTTTATTACGTCTTTCGTCGTTTCGGGATTCCCTCGAGTTTACCTTTCGTTCATCGGTGACGATTCTGCGAATGTTTTCTTGTTCCCTGCTTTCCCTAACATTTCTTGAAATAAAGCGATTGTTTATCGATTGCCTTTGACGAATAATCGTTGTATCACGATTTTCCCTTCGTTCTTCTCTAATTTCAGATCTCTGTAAATCTTTGGAAAGTCGTTCTTTTCTTTGTGATTCCCTTGAATTTACATACCGGTTGTTTCTAGATTCAATCCTATCTACTTCTTCGTTACGTCTTTCTTCGGTTCGTGTTTCCCTTGAGATTACCTTTCGTTCACCAGAGTTGATTCTGCGAGTATTTTCTTCTTCTCTATTTTCCCTTCGGTTTTCCCTAGATTCAATTCTACGTGCTTCTTTTTTACGACTTTCTTCTCTTCGTGATTCCCTCGAATTTACCTTTCGTTCATCAGAGACAACCCTGCGATTATTTTCCTGATCTCTATTTTCTCTAACATCTCTTGACTCAATTCGATTATTTATTAAACGGTCTTCACGTCGTTCTTGACTTCTTTCAACTCTCTTCAAATCTTGATCACGTTGTTCTTCATTTCGAGATTCCCTCGAGTTTACCTTTCGTTCATCGGAGACAATCCTGCGAGTAATTTCTTCTTCTCTATTTTCCCTTCGGTTTTCCCTAGATTCAATTCTACGTGCTTCTTCGTTACGTCTTTCTTCGCTTCGTGATTCCCTCGAATTTACCTTACGTTCATCAGAGACAATCCTGCGATTATTTTCATGATCTCTATTTTCTCTAACATCTCTTGAGTCAATTCGATTATTTATTAAACGGTCTTCCCGTCGTTCTTGACTTCTTTCAACTCTCTTCAAATCTTGACCATGTTGTTCTTCATTTCGAGATTCCCTCGACTTTACCTTCCGTTCATCGGAGACAATCCTACGAGTATTTTCTTCATCTCTATTTTCCCTTCGGTTTTCCCTAGATTCAATTCTACGTGCTTTTTTGTTACGTCTTTCTTCGCTTTGTGATTCCCTCGAATTTACCTTTTGTTCACCAGAAACAATCCTGCGAATATTCTCCTGCTCTCTATTTTCCCTTTGGTTTTCTCTAGTTTCAATCCTGCGCGTCTCTTCGTTACGACTTTCTTCGCTTCGTGATTCCCTCGAATTTACCTTACGTTCATCAGAGACAATCCTGCGATTATTTTCCTGATCTCTATTTTCTCTAACATCTCTTGAATCAATTCGATTATTTATTAAACGGTCTTCCCGTCGTTCTTGACTTCTTTCAACTCTCTTCAAATCTTGATCACGTCGTTCTTCATTTCGAGATTCCCTCGACTTTACCTTTCGTTCATCGGAGACAATCCTACGAGTATTTTCTTCTTCTCTATTTTCTCTTCGGTTTTCTCTAGATTCGATCCTACGTGCTTCTTTGTTACGTCTTTCTTCTTCTCGTGATTCCCTCAAATTTACCTTTCGTTCACCAGAAACAATCCTGCGAACATTCTCCTGCTCTCTATTTTCCCTTTGGTTTTCTCTAGTTTCAATCCTGCGCGTCTCTTCGTTACTTCTTTCTTCGCTTCGTGATTCCCTCGAATTTACCTTACGTTCATCAGAGACAATCCTGCGATTATTTTCCTGACCTCTATTTTCTCTAACATCTCTTGAGTCAATTCGATTATTTATTAAACGGTCTTCACGTCGTTCTTGACTTCTTTCAACTCTCTTCAAATCTTGATCACGTCGCTCTTCATTTCGAGATTCCCTCGAGTTTACCTTTCGTTCATCGGAGCCAATCCTGCGAGTATTTTCTTCTTCTCCATTTTCCCTTCGGTTTTCCCTAGATTCAATTCTACGTGCTTCTTTGTTACGACTTTCTTCTCTTCGTGACTCCCTCGAATTTATCATTTGATCATCAGAGACAATCCTGCGATTATTTTCCTGTTCTCTATTTTCTCTTCGATTTTCTCTAGATTCGATCCTACGTGCTTCTTTGTTACGTCTTTCTTCTTCTCGTGATTCCCTCGAGTTTACCTTTCGTTCATCTAAGACAATCCTGCGAATATTATCTTGCTCCCTACTTTTCCTAACATCTCTTGAATCAATGCGATTGTTTCTTGAACGCTCTTCTCGCCTTTCTCGAACAACATTAACATCGCGATTTTCTCCTCGTTCTTGCCTTATCTTCGAATCTTCATCGTTTCTAGATTCTCTTGAGATTACCTTTCGTTCATCAGAGATTATTCGATCTTCATTTTCTCTGGAATCAATGCGCTCTTGTCTTTCACGAGCAATATTTGAATCTCTTTCATCCTGCCTACTTTGCAAGTTATTACCTTCAGATTCCCTCCTCATCGTTCCTCTTTCTTTGTATCCAACGCCATCATCGTTCCTTTCGCGAGAAATTCTGTTTTCATCGTTACTTCGTGAATTTGTTTCTCGAATAGATCGAGTTATCCTCCTTCTACTTACGTCATTTCCACGTTCAGAATTTATGTCTCTTGTCTGTTGCCTGTCGTCGGGATTTCGAGCAGATCTCTGGATCACGTTGTTGCTTCTGGTGCTTCCAGTTTCTTCGCGTCGAGTTTCCCTGATATTCATTGAAGCAAGGGCAGTTTCGCCACGTCTCTCACGATCGTAATCCCTGTATGGAAGATCGTACCGATTGGTTTGCTGCTTGCCGGAGAATCGGCGCGCCTTTCCGTTCGGATCGGATTCTCGATCTCTCATGAGATTCTCACGGGTCTCCAAGAAAGTGCGTCTCTTCTCCGTAGGATTTCGTTGGTCGTGTCTCCTGCTCGTCTCCGTGTTCACTTGGTGGTCGTCGTCGTCGTTGCGTTCATTGAGAAAGCCTTGAGTTGTCGTGGCAACGTACAAAACAAAAAGAAGAAATATCAGTGCACTGTTTTTACCCATGGAGTTCCACATCTCTCCCCGGCCACCCCGCTTCCGGCCGCCCCCTGTTTCCAGCTTTGCTTCTCGTTCGGGAACCGAAAAAATTGTTGCTGCTACTAAACTGTTGTTGTTGCTGTTGTTGTTGTTTCGTAGATTCGTTGTAGCTTTGAGCAGATGACTTGTATGGTTTACTGGTCGAAGACTTTCTGAAGGGCTGCTGCACGCGACGGTCCTTTTATACGCCGAAGAATCCGGAGACATCGATGTGGACCCAATTTCACGGCGCGTTAAATTTTCAATTTCCCACCCAAATAATTCGATTCGCCCATTACTCATCTCCGTTCCAAAACCTCAACCACCTGATGCCAATCTGCACAGCAACATCACATCCATCCATATGGAGAAAACGAACTAGAAATTCCTTAAAACAATAATTTCATAATCCCATAACAAATCATCAATTTGTTAATAATCAATTACAAACCTGAATCCAAATCATCGATTCAAGTTTATTTTTACTCAATGAAATTGTATTGAAAATCTCAATTTGAAATGTATTACGAATGTGCAGCGCACGTAAATTGATTAAGTTGGCTGGATGAGCAGCTGCTCTTCACCGATAAGCGAATTCGATTTGCGCAACCATATTGCCTCCACCAAAGTAATCGTCTTGCATTAGAAAAAAAATATGTGTGTTACAATCTTTGGAATTTGCTACCAATATCTTTAATTATTTTATTATGATAGTAGTTAATGCTTATCGTTGTATGTAAATAAGAGAATTTCATCAATATTAATTTCATTATATTTTTGATTCAATTGAATATTTGGAAACTGTATTTTGTTGTTTGATAGTTTAAAGTCACGATTGGAAAGAAATTACGGTTGTTTTTTTATTATTGGAAAGTAATCGTCTTGCATTAGAAAAAAAATATGTGTTACAATCTTTTTAGAAAAAAAATATGTGTTACAATCTTTGGAATTTGCTACCAATATCTTTAATTATTTTATTATGATAGCAGTTAATGCTTATCGTTGTATGTAAATAAGAGAATTTCATCAATCGTACTTATCATGATTAGCTAATGTTTAATGGTATTACATTTATGTAATTAATATAGATAAAATTAAAGTGTTGCTTGTAATTTAGTTTTGGGCTAAAATGTACGATTTTTATTTAGAGACAAACATTTGTTGCATTAGAATTTATGTTGTCGAGAAAGTTTCAGTTTTCAGTTTTAGGTAATATAATTGTTATTTAGATTTAGATTTCTTAGATTTATTTGCTGCAATTGAATTTAGTATATTTTTGATTCAATTGAATATTTGGAAACTGTATTTTGTTGTTTGATAGTTTAAAGTCACGATTGGAAAGAAATTACGGTTGTTTTTTTATTATTGGAAAGTAATCGTCTTGC